GTGACTCACTATGAATTACAAAAACAGAACAACTGTATAGCTAAACCATTTAGGATAACCAAAAATGCCTTCTACTGAGCACAATTTGTTATCATTCCATGCCAAATGACCACAGACGGGGCTATAAGGGAATTCACAACAAAGTAATGTAGCTAGAGGAGCTAAACTCAGGATATCATTACAGTGCTTGATTACGAATAAGAGGACACAAATGACCCTCAACCATATGTGTGACCCTGAATACACACTTCAAGAAATGCATCAGGTTGGATAACGGACCCATCCGTGACTTCCCGGACCCACCTCTTAGCAACATGTGGCATGACAGTAAGTGAGCACCACAATGATGTTGAAAAGAAAAAAGACTTAACTCAAACTCACTTCTTTGAGGTGTCATCTGTGAAAATGTAACTGGTACAGCTGTAGATTTTAGTTTATCCCGCTGGAGACCTTCCATCCAATCATCAGGTGAAAACGATCACCACGTACACAGATATTTTGTGCAGTAAATTTAGTGAATGTCTTTGTTACTAGTTTGTGGTTCATTGCCAAAAGCAAAAGTTTGCATATGTCATCAGTGGGAAATCAGTGGGAACATAGCACAGTGCCCATAGATTTCTCTGTTCTGTTTTTGCACAACGGATCGCAACAACATTTTCATAGGTTTAGCAATATTTGATATGTGACTACTAATTATCTTACAGTAAGCAAGCCTTAGCAATTACTGTGCCAACATTATATACCTGCGCAGTGATGTTTTACAGCACACTTCTGCACTCCATCCCACAGAGTTTGAAGGTGGAATAGTAATGGAAAGCAGGACATCATGTGGATGATGATGCTTTTTCCCATTTTAGCTTGAATGTGTAGATAAGACCTATTCTTGCTATTTTACTAAATATTTTTTAAACAAGTTTATGTAGCTTATCGATGTCATTTGAAGCAAAAATACGAAGATTTTGATGTGAATTCGTGGAAACGGTTTGGGTGACTACTGACTTCCAATGTTTGTTAGTACCATACAAAAATTGTACACAAAATATGTCATGGCTGACCAGCTGCATTTGGGGTAAGTGAAAAATCCTTTTTTTGCCAAACTATTCCTTTAAATGGCACCTTGTATGTAGGTACACCTACCTTGTATCTTCATTCTTTGTCCATTTTATTAGCTTCACTTTCCATATAAGTGCACTTTGTAGTTCTGTAGTTCATCTGTTTCTCTGCATAATTTGTTAGCCCTCTTTTACGCTGTTCTTCAATGGCCAGACCCCCACAGGACCACCACAGAGCAGGTACTATTCGTGTGGTGGATCATTCTCAGCACTGCACTGACACAAGTGTGTTGTGCTAATACGAGTAGATCAGACACAGCAGTGTTTTCAAACAATATGTCCACTTACTGTCTATTATACCTGGTCACTTCATGTGATGAGTATCTGGATTGTATATTGATGAGATTTTAGCCATGTGCATTTACATTTGGTAGTCAAAAGCATCTCTGGTTAGTCAGACTGAAATCTGAATGCTGTGTGGGATGTTACGCCCATTATGCAACAACCACTTACCAGTTGTTTATCTGTTCAGCCTCTTTGTCTGCAGTTTGTTTTGTACATTCTGTCCATATTGCTACTGAACATTTTGTTTCATCCAGTCCCCAAACACACACGTCCTCCGTGATTATCTTCTTCGTAGACACGGATCACGTGTTCAGTGACATACTGCATGGGAAGGAGTCTCAGTTGTAGTTGGAGGGTTTTGGTTGTTGAATGTGTCTTGGAGAGATGGATGTGTTTAGAGTGCTATAACGTGGTTCAAATGTGTCTCAGACCCCTTCCCATAGTTTTTTGAGCAATTTGATTTGTATCTGTTTCAGATGTGTCTTGGTTGCGTTTACCCTTGCATTGCTATGTGACTTGCCTTTTCCAGAAATTACCCTGATACTTAAGATGCATGAAGTGACCAGGTGTAAATGGAGTTTTAACCTACCTTGTTGATCCACCTAGTAGGTGTAAAATCAAAGATGAAAGCTCATCTGTTGCTGCACAGTTTGTGTTGGTCATCCTGTAGTCCTTCATTAGTGGTCACAGGATGCTGCCCATGGGACACTCTTGGCTGGATATTTTTGGTTGGTGGACTATTCTCAGTCCAGCAGTGACACTGTTGTGTCTGATCCACTCTATGCAGCACACACACACTAACACATCACCACCACCACGTCATTGTCACTGCAGTGCTGAGAATGATTCACCTTCTCAGTGGTGGTCTTGTGGGAGTCCTGACCAAGGCAAATTATGCAGATAAACAGATGGACTACAATCTGTTCTTTGTAAAGTTACAAGATCACTGAATAGCCTGTTGAGTGTTTGATTGTGAGGAAAAAAGGCACTTTTATCAGACTATTGGTATGCGTGTTTAGAGATGGTGCATTCTACACATATATAGGCCTATTTACTGAAACAAACACAGAGTGACTGATAGTGGATAACAAAACTGTGCTGATAATATGTAGGCCAATAAAAAGTATTCAAAATTATGTTTACATCCTTTGGTGAAAGTATGCAGCCTATTAGGTTGTGCTTTAATAGCACCAGATTTGTGTAGCGTGTCCAGAAACAAGCCAGGAGTGATGCTGATGCTAAAAGGCTTTATTACTGTCAACCATGACTAACAGCGGCACAACAAGTTGGCTTCAAAGGCATTTTCAAGCTTGTACTCGAGTGTTTCTTTCTTTTCAGTGTGTTAACAGCAACACGGCTCTGCAATTACATGAGAAAAAACCTGTCATTTCCACGGAAGAGCACAATGAGAAGGTTTCTAAACCTAATGTAGTCATGATCACACTCTAAATCAAACATTAGAGCTTAAAGTGAGACTATGTCACAATACACATTGATGCTGAATCTTACTATGTTTCACAATCACTTCCCAGTAGGGGCATCGAACCAATGGTAATGACTAAACAGGGTGGGGACCATCCAAAATCCTTGGAAATAGGCTGATTTTGATTTCTAATTTTGATATGCTCTGTAATTATAGAAATAATGGTTTGATCCTGAAGCGTATGTCTAATCTGACCTGGGTAAAATGAAACCAAACTCAGGATTTCAGAAACAGGAGCTGAGAATGAGAAAGCAATATATGGTCAAACAACTTCTGACCCATTTCTTTCAGAAAACTGGTGAGCCTAAAGTGCCAAACAGTAAATATGTTGTAATGTAAGCGGGCTAGCTATCTAGCAATTAGCCATATCCATGGTGATTATCTACATTTGCAGTCATTTGTAACAAGTACAAGCAGATAAAGAGGCACAGGATTTGATTCACTGCAGCAAGCTTTATTATTTTTTTTAAACAGACAGCATTTCTGTGATCATAACCAAACGAAGTTAGTCTCAACCCAGCAGCTAAGAGTGCCCTCACACTAGGGTCAGAAACGTAGTCCCCCCAATGTATTCCAGTTAGGACGCTGCATCAGCTCTATAGGAATAGAAACATGCCTGTATGCAGTGAAAAGATGCTTCATCAAGCGTCAAAAAAGTTCAAACCGTTTCAACTTTTGCTGCAATGGATTCTGACATGGAGGAACATCAACCAATATAAACATGCAGGCAGAAAACGCATGAAAATCCAAGATGGTGAAAGTGAAAAGGAGTGCAACTTTGTACTCTTTTCCTGTTCTATATGAATACTGTTGTTGTCTGCTTGGCTCTGTATATGGCCATCGGCAAAAATGTCTTTTAATGGCTCATATTTCTGTGTCTGGTCCACATGTTTTGTTTTCCGCTGGATTTCGAACTGTACAAACTCCGCCCCGCTCCAGCTGTGTTCAGATCTGCATGCGTATGCATCTATGTCTCCGTCCTTGCCTTGTCTAGTGTGAAAGTACTAACTCATAAAATGCACACTGTTAGTTCCAGAGACAGTCAGAGTCACTGAGGAGGAGAGTGTGGCACCTCTTCCTTTTCTGATGCAACTGAAAACATGAGATAAGGTGAGCTCACCGAAGTAGGTCGCTAATAGTGTTCCAACCAATAAACCATTTGTTGATCAGTTTCAGTGAAAATTACAGTAATTATATATATATATATAATTTTATTATTATATATCTCTTTCGAATTTTCTTTTTTATTACATTGTTTTGAACATATACCAAGTTTAAGTGTAATCTTTATTAAGGTACAGCAAGACTGATGATCCAAAGCAAATTTTCCTTATTGTTAGCTGTTTAACCCTCAAATATATACTAATCAACCTCATAAAGAAATACAACATAGTAAATACTTTACACCTTTTTTCCTTTTTTATTTTCTTTTGAGGGGGCGCCTGGGTACATTACTGTGCTTGGGGCCCAGATTTCGGTGGTCACCAATCACATAAATGCGAACGGCAGTGCAGGCAGGAGAAGACAAACCCTGGGTGCTGTTCTCCTGACCGGACAGCCTTGACTTCTTAACTCAAGCAAGTTTTTGCTTGGCTTGATTAAATCGGCTTACATCCTCCCTGAAGTGTGGCACTTTAAGTACTAGGCCAAAGTCAAAAGCGATTTCTATTTGACAAACACATGCATGTGCCCCATTCTAACGACTCTGTTTCATGTTGTAATCTTCTAAGAATCCTGATTTCTCCAGCATGGATTTCTCGGACTGATGCAACATGTACTCAGCGTATCTTGGGTGGTAGAAGCGAACGAAACGCTTGTTTCAAGTTGCATCAGCCACAGGCGCCATAATGAGATGCAAGCTTTTAAACGGCAGCTCGCTCGACGAATAAGCGTCGGAGGGAATCATGATTGACAGTCGCTAAACCAATGAGTTGAAGAAAAGGGTAGCACTCGGTGTGGGCTTCTTGGCCAATAAGACGCTCGAATGATTATGCAATCCGTGGCGTTTTGACACCATAAGAATGTAATTGGATAAGAGGCACAGAAGCCCGCCTCCTCTAAAAGACTATTGGCGTAGAAGACGAACGCGGTGACGTAGTCCCATGGATACTTACAGCATAAAGAGGACGACCTTCATTTCATCACACGGCCGGGAACAGCGGTACGGGAAAGCGGTAGTTGTATATTTATTGATCTGGTTAGCATACATAATTTAGTCATTTCTAACCAGTTAGGTATCCCGTACTGTATTTTTTTATTTTGGGAGTGGTACAGAGGCCGGCTAGTGGGCTAGCCACCAAGCGTTTGCGTTTCCGTTCTGTTCCAGCTTTGAGCCGAAGAGGCGAAAATGGCGTTTTAAGGCGAAGATGCGGGCACACTAAAGCATCGGCATGCACCAGGCAAAGCAAAAGCACCCGCGTACCTCCATCCTCACAACTGCCAAGCAGTTGGGCTCCAGTGCCGTTCGCGGTATAGCGGCGAGCCAACCGATACCTCTCCTCTTAGACCGGAGGAAGCTAATACTAGCAAGTTAGCTAGCTAGCTGGTTTAACCGGTTCGGTTAGTACACTAAGTTCTGTTACACCTCCCAGCCGCCTTGATTCACTCCAGCATCAGACACCGGAGACAGCATCACACTCTTCAGCATGAAGCCTCAAGACATCATAACAGGGAAGAGCAGCCTCTGGATTTTCGGCTACGGTTCACTGGTGTGGAAGCCCGACTTCAAGTACAAGAGGAGCAAGGTCGGGTACATTCGGGGCTACAAAAGGCGCTTTTGGCATGGAGATAATTACCATCGTGGCAACGATGAAACGGTGAGTTGAAGCGTTAATTGTGTTATGATTGAAAGAAATCTATGCGTTATCACGTCACTATACTGCGTGGCTTTGTCGTCATAATGACACTGCTTTTCTCTGATGTCAACAGCCTGGAAGAGTTGTGACGCTCATTGAGGAGGATGATGTAAGTATTCAATATTGTATCATATATGCTTAAAGTATGTCATAAGAGAGTATATCATTTGAACCGTTATTATTCTTGTAATAATAAGAATGATGATCTCTCACACAGGCATGCACATGGGGTGTTGCTTTCGAAGTGACTGGCTCCCAGCTTGAAGAGTCCCTCAAGTATCTGACCGTGAGGGAGTCCGTACGAGGGGGCTACCTTACTCAGTTTGTGGAATTCATCCCACGCGGTGAGGATCAGTCACCCATTCAGGCCCTGGTTTACATCGCCACGGCTGACAACCCCATCTACCTTGGGCCGGCCAGCGCAGAGGAAATCGCAGCCCAAATCGCTGTGTGCAAGGGGAAGACGGGCCACAACATCGAGTACCTGCTCCGCCTGGCCGATTTCATGAGGCACAGCTGCCCTGATGTAGATGATCCTCACTTGTTCTCCATCGAGGCAGCCTGTCTAGCTATCATTAGGCCCATTCTGCTAGCAGCTCAGCAGCCTGTGTTTGCTTAGACAGCTAGAGGCGGTCAAACTCCATTCTGAGTCATAACATGCTCCAAGATGACACTGTGGTTGTTGTGATTGTGTTCAGTGATTCCATCCCATATATTACAAGTGGTTAATTAATTGTACTGTATAAAGGGAAACTAGGTATTTTAATCTGTCCCTAGAATATGTTGTAATTGAGTAGCATGACATGTGCATTAGCCTCATGTTTCTTTGGTCCTTGCAATATAAGCTCTGTCTGTGGTAGCAAAATAATCAAAATGGGTCAAACACTGTTGTGCAAAACATGTAAAAGTCTGATGCGTGCATGCTTGGTAAGTTCTAACCTCAAAAAGGTGAATGGTTCTGTTTCTGCACAGCTGTCTCAAAATATGGTTATTTTTGTCCATTTGATTTGCACAAAAGCTGACTTTCAGTTCTTAAGCCATTTTGATTTTTATTTACGCCTAAGGAAAAAAAAACCTTTGTTGTAAAAGGTTCAATTGTTTACTTGTGTCCTTGAATAAAATGGTTCACATCCATTTCTTCCCGTCCCTTGTGGTTCTCATTTTTTCATTGTTTAGTACTTCTTTACTGTTAGTGTGAGACTGTGGTGGCTTCAGGACATTGACATATTTACCAAGTTTTTAGAGCTGTTGCTTACATCTTGGCCTAATGCAGACACCGACACCGCTGATCAAAATCAGCAGTAGGACAAGCATAGTGCAGTCATGTATGTTCGTCAAAAACCCATCCCACAACATCGGCTTGCCTCCTTGTTTCCACACAGCTGACTAACACTTGGCAGATGCAGGACTGACTTTGGACATGGCTCAAGCTGACCACTATCTAAATACACATACAGGTTTACGCAAGCTGGAGCAGGGAACAGACTGACCCTGGAAGTCCTGTGTTTACAGTCTGCTCTGCTCTGAGGTCAGAAGAAGCAGGAGAGAGAGATGATAAAGTCAGGTGGCTTGTCTTTTAGCTAGAAAGTGGTATATATCTTCAGGCTGTGTGCATAATCATACACATCCCCACTTTTCAGGCCTCTAATGATTATTCTTACCAGAAAGCTGGTCAATAGTTTTTACAGGGGTCTCCCAAAGACACCCTCATGACCCATTTTATGATCCATTTCAACCGAATTCAAAGGGGATTCTACATAGCATCCAGAATCAAACACCCCTGATTTGAATCAATGTGCTAGCTCACCTGACCAAACAAGGCATGGCATGGAACAGTAAAGGGTGAGGTCATACTACAACACAGATTAAATTTTGCATGTTTATGTTCTTCATGTACTGCATTTCTAACTATTACGTGCGTCATACCAGGCTCTGTATAGGGCAACCCACTGAGTGCTACGTAGACACTACATAGACCGGAATGTCTACTGACTGGTTACAGCTAAATATACCACTGGCTTAATCAATAATCGTCAATATCTTCCTTCGTGAATCACACTGATTACAAAAAGTGTCAATGTGGTAGCATTTTACCACAAAGTCAAAAGAATAAATCAGACAAATGCATCTGAAATTATTTTGGATTTTTTTTATTTTGGATTTACTCCAAGTTAGTAAAATGACCACTTTTTCTCTCTGGTATGTACACAGTGACCTATAAAAATAGACAAGCAATATGGGAAATATGGATAACTTTGAAAGGAGCAATATCCACTGCAGTATTTACAAACGCTGCACAATATTATCATGTTGAAAGACAAAATAAACCTCAAAACCACTGATGCCACAAAAACTTATGAATTTGCAACACATTTATCTTTTAAAAATAAATGGCTTCGATACAATTTACAGTTAGCACAAATCTTCATAAATTACCAACTTTTAACTTAAGCTATGATACATTTTACATCCATTAAAGAATATGAAGTCAGCCTTGATAAAGTGGAGTGGTGACAATTTTAAGCAGTGCCCACTTCTACATTTCACTCCTCTACAAAATACCTGTAACTCTTTTTCACCTTCCTGGTCAAAATATATATTAGTATTTAAAGCCAAAATTCAATTTGCGGCAAATAACTGTAGAAAGAGAAGGCTGTTTGGCATTGTGAATGGTTGATGTTCATACTACAATAATGCTGATGAGACTTTTCCACAAAAATAGTCATTTATAAAAGCAGTCTTGCGTGTTCTGTTGAACTAAAGATGTCTTTACTGATGAAGGGTGTGCGCTTGGCGAACACTTGACCCCTCCCCCGTTCCCTGCTCTGTATTCTCTGTTTCACAATTGCAACAATGTTCTTAGAAGCCTGCAAGTCATTTCCAGCTATTAGAGGAAATGAGAAAAAAAAACTTGCATCTGCATATTTGCCTCTCTGTCCCCAAAACATGTCTCTGATCAACAAGTGCAATAGAGGAGAGATGTGTTGCATTCCTGTTCTGTTCTTGATCACCAAACACATCTGCACCTTTTTCAGGAGAGAGAGAGGCTCAATAGGAGAGAATGTGTTTTTACCTAATTGTGAAAGCAAGTGAATTGCCTTTTTTCCAGAAACTGTTATGCAGCCCTTTGCTCAGTGCACAATGCCATGTATTGGACAATTTCACTGCCTTGTACCAAAAAAATTCATTGTTTTTCTCTCATGTTAATCAAAAGTCTTTTGCCCTTCATAAACCAAATGCTTTCAACCACAAGCCTCTTGAAATAAATAGGGATTTGCATTTCAACTGAAGAACAGCATTTCCACTTTTCCCACTATTCTCTTGTGCAGTCTTTTTCCAGACCTCCCAGATTGCTCCTCTTTGATTTAGGGGGTAAGATCACTTCACTGCTAAATTACAGGGAAATGAAGAAAGGTTTCACAGTGACAGCAGGGCTGGTGAAATGTTTTGCGATGGATAGACATCATAAGAAACCATGAGGGGGTTTAGCCTCAAGAGTGAAATTACTGGCCAATCTAGAATTACACATTAGCCTACCACAAACCCTACTCAGACTGCTACCGTCCCCCATGGCTACTGGGTCCTTTGCCTCTCTTGGAGGGGTTGTGATGGATGTGGGAGCTGCCATGTGCTAGCATCTGAGAGCCAGGGCCCATGGTGCTGCCTTTAGCCTGCGGGGAGGAGGTGCCCACAGGGACGAAGGCAGGTGTAGCGGAAGAGCGAGCCAATGCAGGCTGCAATGGACCAGAAGCAGGAATACCTGAAAGAGAAGAGATTCTCGTAACGTCATGTTAAAGTGAACATGTTCTACATTTTATTTATGTCTAAAAAAACGTTGTTTGTTATAACTGCCTTTAATATTAAAATATATAAATGACCTATGTTCTGATTGGCTGCCCTATATTGTGCTTTGTTCAAAAAGCAGCCTGGGCTGAAATGTAAGGTACAAACTGTTCATGCTAAACTCCTCAGAGATGTCAGAAAACAAACCAGCCACTCTGTTTCAGATCATTTGGAAGGCTTCAATGATGCATTCACCTTCCAGCAGCTGGAAACAGCATAACGCTTAACCATTTTTTCCTTCTGCACTGGGAAATCTGCAACAGCTTGCAACACCCTGTCACTTTAACTTAAATGGACAAACTGCTGTGGCCTATTATGATTATATAGACTTGTGTTTGTAGCAAGTGTGTCATCACAACGCAGAGTTCAAAATATTCTATTAAAAGTCACAAAAGAGCTGGAACCCATCACGGTGTAAAAAACTGAAATACGCCAAAGAGAGGATTGTAACATGCCGACAGAAAACTTGCTTACAGCTACAGAACCTGTGCCGACGTGGTTTACTTGTTTGAAATGTTTGGACTGTGCAGTGAGCTGTTAGCTAAAATATACTCCACATCCATCTAATAAACTGTGGTGTGTAGCGCTGCTCTAGTAGCAGGCAGCAGTCCACTGCAATAGCTTAGCTTGCTACAGTTTCACAGCACCGGTTCATTCCGGCTCAGTGAAGCTTCACTGACGCAAGTTTAGAGGATAAAGACTCAAATCTGAGCAGGGGGAAACTTTGTGTGTAGAGCTGTTAATTTATGCTAATTTTGCTTTAACATTCTTGTTAGCACTAGACGCTAACATTAGCTTGGCATTAAGGATAAACACTGACGTTGCACTGAGGCAAGTGTAGAAGATAAAGATTCAAATCTGAGAGAGGGAAATTGAGCAACTGGTGCCGGAGTAACACCACTTACAAATGTAAGTCAATGTAATCAGAATCTTTTTGATTATGAAAGATACAGTGGGAGCTTATTTTTGTTTCTGCTCTGCTTCATCTCAGAAAACGTAGAGACAGCATGCAGGGTAGTGTCAGGAAGAGGTGGGGTTTAGCAAGAGGGCAACATAGGGGCGTTTAGAATTTGCATAATCGTGCATATTCATTGTCATGAGTGTTGAGGTTTTGGAATGCTCCTATGCCATTTTAGTACTTTCCTGAGCATAACAATAATACAAATAAAATATTAAAACAAATTATTATTCAACACAGATACAGGTAATTGTGTTTTAAATTATGGCATTGGATTTGCAATTGGCCTATTGCACCCTGATGCACACAACGCAGCTTGATGTATGTTGCTAGCATTGGTCATTCATCAGCAAACACATAACATACTTACATCCCTAATCTGGATCAGAGTAAGATGGAGTCGAAAGTTTGCTGGTTTGAGTTGTGTGTGTAATCAAAATTCACCTTTGGATACACTGTAGCCGTAAGCAGCGTATGCAGCGGCTGAGGCGGCTGCTGCTCCTGCCATTGCCCCAGCAATGGCTGCTGCGCTGCCTGCAGTCGACTTCCTTCCTCGACCCTTCCTGCTGGAGCACTTCCCGGCCCCTCCGGAGCCTTTGGGCCGACCTCGGCTCCTACCGGACCTTCCTCTGCCTGGACTGGATGTGTCTTGAGAAGAGACACCTACAGGAGTAACAGAGGACGAGTTCAGCTGGAACATCTGGCTGCAAACCTAACCCCAACTATCCGCCTGGAGGATATGACCTTGCAGAGACCAAAATATACTAATGTGCACCTGCCAAACCCAGCAAAACAAAGCAAATCTGTCTTTTTTACACTATTGTCCACTTTCCCCAAATTTAGCTGCTCAGCCAAGACATATTTGGTGAAGTCGAATTCTTACTTGTAAACTGGAACTAGAAAGGATAATGCAGCTAACAAGTAATGGAAATGTATAATTGAGAACGAAGGTTGGTACAGTAAAGTGGGTAATATTAAACGGCAGACAGGGATGTTTGATTACCTGCCTGGGCAAGCACACCATGCTACACCAATAAGTGTCCTTGGACAAGACATCTAACGCTACATTAGCCTGCCTATGTAATAATTATATTGTCACACATTGACATATTGACAGTATGATAGTTTGATAGACATTATGATAGTTTCTATCATGATTGTCAATGAAACTTAAATGTCTGAAATCACACCATCTGCTGTTTTGAGATGCACAGAAGTAATTATATCTTGCAATCTTTTTTCTTTTAACATGATTTCTTTTAATGTGTAATGTTTGTCCATGTCCTGAATCAGTCGTGATATGTTGTCTGACTTTAGAAGGTTTTACAGCAGTGCAAGGTAAATCTTTTTTTTTTTTTATAGCTGTGGTCGTGCTTGTTTAACTGATCAAGCTGTGCTGCAGCCTTCTTCACATTGAATGGCTTCTCTCATGAAAAATGAACAGGGGCTTAAAAGATTTTAACGCTACGATTAATTCAATTATTCAAAATGAAAAAAGACAATGCATAGCGTGTTTGATCATTCCAGAGTCTGGTCCACAGTCTAGTGTGTTTAGTTGATTACACCACTCCAGCAGTCACTTGGCATTACACATAGCGATCTTAGGCTTATGTGCAGCTGCTCAGCCATGGAAACCTATTTCATAAAGCTCCCGATGCACAGTTATTGTGCTCATGTTTCCAGAAGCAGTTGGAATTGTAATAAATGATGCAACAAAGGATTTTTGCAAGCTACTCGCTTCAGCACTCAGCGACCCTGCTCTGTGAGTTTACGTGGTCTGCTGCTTCATGGCTGAGCTGTTGTGGCTCCTAGATGCTTCCATTACCAGGGCAGAAATTTCACAAACTGACTTGTGGCAAAGGTGGTATCCTATGACAGTGCCATGTTTGATGTCACTGAACTCTTCAGTATGACCCGTTCTACTGCCGATGTTTGTCTACGGATATTGCTGTGTGCTTGATTTTATACGCCTGTTTGCAATGGGTTTGGCTGAACCCAATAATTAGGATTGTCCACATATTTTTGGCTATAAAGTGTATATTGCACATGATATCACAAACTATGTCAAAAATGAGTTAAGTAGGTTAACTGTGGTTTCTTACACTGTATGACAAACTGTTCTTTGTAAAAACTGACAAAAACCTGACTTTCGTCAGTTCTTTGGTCCAGTGTGTGATGACAGTTTTTATTATGCCATTTATTGAACTACATTAGCCTCTTAGCCCCAGTGCAACACTAAAGAAGTAAACTCTGGACACCAAACATGTCTTGGCTGATCAACTACATTTAGAATCAACTAGGATTTGGAAAACTGTAACTGTTCCTTGAAAGTCAGTTTTCTGACTTCCAGGGCTTAATATTTTCACACACAGACTTTCCTGCTTCCTTTTTTTCTCACACTTTTATTTTCTCATCTTCTAATGCATGTTTGTGGATGAAGCTGGATGCCAAGGCAGCCTCTGCACTTGGGTGCAAGCCAGGATATAGCCACTGAGGGCTAGACAGGGTAGCCTCCCCCAAGTCCTGTCTCCCTCACAGCCACTCTCCTGCTCAAGTTTCCTCAGAGAGCTCCAATCCTGCAGCCCTCAGCGCTTTAAATTGCAAAATCTTGACAGCAACACTGCTTATTAGCATTGCCCTTCACTCAAGAGGCAGGCAAAGAGCCAAATCCATGCTAAAGGCTACCCTGTTGGAGCCATTTTGTTTATGTGGGATTTGATTGCAGTCATGCAGCGCTTCCAAAAATTGAGAGGAAGACAAAGAGAAAAGAGCTGCAGCACATACAGCTTGCAAAAGCTGAGCCAAGGCCCACACGAGCGCCCTTCCAGCAGTGTGAAACAGAATATATCAGCTGCTCGGCTAGCCAATTATTCTTTGTACTGGAGGCACGGTGACAGACAAAACAAATCAAACTGAAGAAAGGGCAGACTCAGCAAGGTCTGTGAAAAGAATAGCTGAAATGATGAAAGCCTGTGTATACAACTCAACGCAGGATTTCCTCTACAAACCGCAGTAGCAAATATACTTTACATTAAATAATCAACAGAGCCCCATTTACCTCACTGCACATGCGAGAACTGCTTTGACAAAAAGATAACTCTTCAATGTCTACCAATGTCAATTATAGCCCCAGTGCGGCAAGCCATTCAAATTTTTCAATCTGCATGCAATTCATTATTTTAAATGTGCTTTTCCAGGCTTTCTTGGCTCTTAATTGCCTGACCATTAATTCTTGCATATGGAGCTCAGCAGACACTGATGGAGCTCCATCCAATACCTTTGGGATGAGTTGGAGTGGAGTTTGAGATCCAGAACTAATCATTCAACATCAGTACCTGAGCTCACTTATGCTCTTGTGGCTGAATGTAGACAAATCCTCACAGCAATGTTCCTACATTTAGCATAAAACCCTCCCAGAGAAACAGAGGTTGTTACTGCAGCAAAGTCAAAATCATGATTATTTCTTGATTCCAGAGCAAGTGCTTTTGCACAGATAGTGTTGACAGGGATTGAGCCTATTCCTGGACCACACAGCATTTTAAATGGAGATTGTCCATTGAAAGGAATATGTAGTCAGACCTACAGTCTAACTGTATAGCTAAAATCAGTATAAACAGCCATCTTGCAGCCTGAATTCTGCTGAATACCTTTGGCCAATTTTGTAGATAACACAGTTATACAGTGTCAGAAACCACATCAGCAAATCCATTTCAGATTACTTAACAAGTTAATTAAGACAAGTGTTTGACAAGATAGCTTCAGTCCAAAAGTAAGGAAGCAAAATTCCTTTAATTCTACATCTCTGTTTTCCAGTTTCAGACCAAGCTGTGGGTGTGTAAGGGCTCTACCCACCGTTCATGTTGTCTGACACAGAGCCGGTGCCAGAGGCGGGGGAGTTGGTGGCGCGGGATTGCGGGGCAGACGACACGGGCTCATCTACGATCACTAGCATATCGCTGCTGCTCTCGTCGGCTGGGAGAGAGCCAGGCTGCAGCTCGCTGCTCAGAGAAATCTGCAGAGAGACACAACTCTAAGGGTGAGACAGGGACAGAGGGACAGCACCACGTTGGAAAGGCATCAGGGCCGTTAGGTAGAAGAGAGGAAGGAAAGGAGGAGGGTGATAGATTAAAGTTCTTCACAAGAGTTAGAAAATGTCTGATCTCTGTCTAAGAATAAAAGTCAATCTAAGTCACATAAGAGTCAGATCATAATTAACTAAACTGGCAAACTACATCATTATAAGTGGTAAGTTCAGCAAAAACAAACAAACAGACCGATTAGTACTGTGAAAGCTGCATTTCTAAAACATCACACACTTAAACTGTGTTGAGCTGTTACCCTTAGTCTAAAAGAGGCTGGCTAAGCCTACCTTTATATTTTTGACTGTAACTTTGGGATACATTACACTATTATCAAGTTATTTGTCAGCTTTTCAGTAATACTAGTCAGCACATATTTGTAATATTCAATATAAAAAAAACAGCCTGTAAATGCATAAAACTCAAAATCGGAAATTCATATTTATTTTTAACAAAAAAAAAGAAACAAAAGTGTATGGAACAAAATAATTTGAATTAATAATACTAATAATCAACCACTTTATGATCGTAGAAGTTACTGGAAGCTTTTAATGTGTAATTGCCCAGGTGTGTGACCATTTCTCTTATCTCTGTCAGCAGTTCCTTTATGCTTTTTCTGCTATTTAGCTGTATAGAGCCACATCATACACTTGACATTTCACAAGTGTCTGGCCTCATCATTGCTGCCCTTGAAATTCATCTGTAATATTTGAGCACCCATCTAGAGGAAAATCTTGTTTTTATAAAGTCAGATGTCTAAGTTTTCAAAAGTTGTGCTGGAATTTGCTAGTCAAGTTTAAACCTGTTAGCGTTATGTCGACATTCACACTTTCAAAATCAAAACACAGCGATGTGGGAGGGTGTCTAAAGCTAAATCCCTGCTTTGGATCTGCTGGATTGTGTATTAAATCCTCTGATTGGCTACCAAGCGATGATAAACAACAACAACAAATAAAAAGTAGAAAAAATAGCTGCTGAAGACTGATCTGTACACACTAATCTAATACACCAGCAATACAGGCAACTCTGCAGATATAGTGTTGATCTGTCCTCGGACTTCAGAGTGATATAACACACACACACACACGCACACACACACACACACACACACACACACACACACACACACGATACCACATGTGGCATATTCTCTGTTTTGAGGATATCTTAAATGGTTGTCAAGTTGTTTTAGGGTGCAACAGGTAAAACTGGAGCTCTAGCAGTTAGCAGGTGAAGTGCAATAAAATTGGAGCAATCTGTTTACTCTAACTAAATAATCAAACTTTGGACACTGCATGTCTAGGCTAAATGACTATTTGGGATAAAGGGAAAGTTGTGTAAATTTATGTTTTCTGTTGAACTATCACTTTAACTCAGCCTTTCTGTATGTCCTCCTCTCTCCTTTCCTTGTTAGTATCCCCTCAGCGCAGCCTGACTCGGCTCACCTCACTGAAGGGGCTGGGCATGGCCGAGTCCATGTCCACACTGATGAAGGAGTCCTCCCCATCTGCTGACAGGTTGGAATTGTCTGCAGAGGGAGCGTATGGGATGACCAAGTTGACACCTTCCTTCTTTTTCTTTGCTTCTACATCATCCTCCTTTTTTCTCTGCAGAGAGATAGAAACATTTTTTCTCTAATCTCTGAAGGCCTATACCTGCATATAAAAGCACAATGGAATTTGGGATGAAAACAAATGCTTTCTTAAACCATCTCAAGGGGAGAGTTACCTTCTCTGCATATTTCTCTCTCTTCCTCTTGCGGTCCTTCACCTTGCTGCTCTCTTCCTGCTGCCTCTTCTCTTCCTGCCTTAAGCGCACTGTCCATAAACACAAACATGTCACCCAAAAGCCAGAAGCAGAAAGAACCCCTGCTTGGGAGGTCAGTCACGGCCAAACCTAATCCTCAATAAAACAGTTAGACTCAGCAGGACCCTATAAACACATGCTATTAAAGACAATAACAGCAGTGTAAAGTGGGCTGACTAGCGCAATGAGCTGAAGCTTTAAGGGAGCCCTTTTGTGACTGAGTGTGTTATTTTCTTCGGACAGTGTGCTATTTCTTAGAAGGCTGAGGTCAAAATGTGCGCTAAACAAATTAATTGAGAACAAGCCTTTTGCAGGAGCCACATGGCTTTTCATGCAACTCTTCTCACAGAGTCCTTGAAAATATCAACTCACGTTTTTTCTCCAGCTCCTCATCATCCAGGAGAAGACTGACCACTTCTTTGGGCTTGAGGGTATCGGGTTTGAAGTTTCCACCTGAGATCACCATCCTCTGAATCTGAGACACAGAAGACAGAAGAGTATAGTGAATAGTTTCATTAATAACTGTATAACAATAGTGTAATTTCAGTGTAATTAGAGTTTCCACTAGCAAATTGTGTCGGTCATGGTGCACGGTAATAATTCAGTTTACCAGACAAATGTTTAAAGTGTTGGTCATTTCTGTTAACTTCACGCAAAAACTTCCTTGTGTTACTACTTATCATTCAACTCTATCTAAGGTTTTGCAGCATCTTCACACGTGCTCAAGGTTTATCCTAAAAACTTCCTCCTCTTCTCCTCAATCACTCCTAAAGTCTGTTTGAAACCAGGACAACACAGCTCTAACTGTGAGACAATTCAGTTCACAATTCTGTGCTTTATTGCAATGAATAACATTTTTATTGACCATCAGATCAGTATAAACATGCCACTCATAAATGATATGATTAAGTACAAAGTCTCTGAGCATATCTGTTAGCTGTTTGAACGTGTACATACAGGCTAGCTTTCTGTGACTTTAATTTCCTATGTTAGCCTAGCTGTTGCTTTAAAGACTCATATTTAACATTATTTCCTTTTGAAATACATCCCTACATTCATGACAAAAGATGCATTTTTGAAGTCAGGGGAATGCAGAGTTTAGGCTCCTTGAATTTGAGCGAGGCTCTGCCATCCGTTAAACGGTGGAATTCCAGTGGGCAGCCTCTTTCCCAGAACAGCAGAGGGCCAGCACCACAGGATTATATTTATTTAAAACTTTATAGATGATTTTCATTAATTTTGTTTACCAGACATTGTGTCCAACTGGATTTTTTTTAAAGGTTTTACTAGTTAAATACTGGAATTTACCAGCCAACAGAAACTCGGAAATGACACTGAGTACATTATACATTGAAATACACTGAATTACATTATTCCAACATCATACAAAGGCAGCACCAGACAATGCAAAAAATTATGACATATTGGTAGATAGGGGTATCTGTCTGATATAATATAAAGGTGGTATCATAAAAATGCAAAAAGTACCTTTACAAAATACTGGCAAATAAGAGAATGCACCTAAATGTTATTAAGGAATGCATTAAAATGATCTATCAGGGGAAAAAAAACAATATAATTTGAGCTTTTTGCATGGGAATGTACCTCACTCTTCTCTTTGGCCCTCTGCAAGATGCGCTCCTCAATAGTGCCCTTACATATGAGGCGGTAGACAGTGACCTGTTTGGTTTGGCCCAGCCTGTGAGCTCTGTCCATGGCCTGCTGATCCACTGTAGGGTTCCAGTCACTGTCATAGAAAATCACCTGCAAGGACACACAGGAATAAATTTACTCAAAACGTCACATCCTCTGACAAACCACCTCACAGACGCACTGCTTATATAAACTTCCTTTCCTTAGGCCACAGTTTACTATTGTTCTACCATGGGAAAAATAGGAAGTATGTTGAAAAGTGTAAACCATGTAAAAGTTGAGGCAAGCCAACAAATCTTGAAATTCTAAAAGTTGAGCTGATGTTACCAATTTTTAAACAAATATGAGGATAGTGTATTCTAAGTATGGCTTGGTGATATCCAACTTCATCCACAAACGTTTGGTGTTTGTTCAAACTTTTGTTGCAGCTGATGAGTTGTAACTAAAGGCTCTTGATCAAGCAACTCATTTGTCATCGATTATGCTGTAAAGAGCAGCGCTTTCACACAGCCTCACCGTGTCTGCAGCAGTTAAGTTTATGCCAAGGCCACCCGCTCTTGTGCTGAGGAGGAAGACAAAAATATCCGTCCTGCAAGCCAAGGAAGAGAGAAAAAGTGAGACAGAGAAAACAAAGAAGAGACAGACCGTGCCCGTGTCCGGCCTGCCAGGATTTACAGCAAGAGACATTTCAATATACCACACACCCTCCTCCAAAATGGAAAGCAGACCCCACAGAGTCCACCAATACAGAGATAATGCAAACCAGAGCCTTAGAGAGGGAGGTCAAGGGAGGGGGGATGAAAAAAATAGAAAGGGAAATAGAAGAAAGTATAGAGAAAGTAAGAATCAAAGAGAAAGAGAGAAAGAAGAAAAAGACAGAACAAGAATGAGAATGAGAGAAAGACAAAATACAGATAAAGAGAGAAAAGTATGAGAAACAGAGGGATTAGAAAATACAGAGAAAAAGAAAAAATGAAAATGAGAAAGAGGTCAAGAGAAAGCAAATAAAGAAAATGAGAGAATGAGAACTAACAACAGAGAAACAGAGAGAAAGGGAAAGAAAAGAAAGAGAGAGAAACTGAGAGAAGCAAGAAAAAAGTTTGTGTGTGAGAGAGCAGGAATCATAAAGAAAATGAAACAGATAAGAAAGAATGAAAGAAAAAGAAGAAAGAAAGAGATTAAATGAAAAAGAGGGATAGTAAGGAAGGGAGAGAAATCATGAGAAAACCAGAGAGAGATAAAAGAAAAGTGTGGGTGTGAGAGAGAATAAGAGGGAGACAATGAGAGACAGAGAGAGAGAACCAAAACCGAAATTCCTCTCGGGCTGAAGGCAGCATCAGGGAAGAGGGTTTTAGACATTTGAAAAACAAGGTCCAATTAGTCTAAACAGAGACAGACGCTAACATCTGCAACCTAGTCTGTGCTGTTGGACAGATCAGAAACTTGAGCTTCTTGTCCTGTCCCACGCTCCCTTCCCCCAACTCCGCTTTGACTGACAGCTCACCGGCTCTGGAAGTCTGCCACCATGTCCCGACGTTCTGAGATCTTGGATGAACCGTCCAGTCGCATGTAGGTGTGCTTCCTGTACACCATGTACTCCTTAAGAACAGTGAGATAATGATGGAAAAGTTCACACACTAAATAAAGCATATTGGACACATACAGAACATATCATAGATAAGTAACATTAGTCAGTCATGCATAAAATAATAAAAAGCTTGTTTTAGGCCTCACAAAAGTCCTCCTTCACACTACAGCTGGCAGCATAAGTCTCATTAGCACCATAAGCCCATTTTCCTAGCTGAAAGAATTCCAAATGAATCCCCAACCAGTCGTGAACAGTGACCTCCCACCCTCCCACGCCACCCAGAGTGAAGCCTCCACTCCATCAGGCCTGGGGCTCCTCTGGCCTCCCTTGCAAAAGCACATCTGGACTATGTGAAATGTGCATTAGCACTCTTGTTGACATTAACGTCCTTTGATCAGGTCTCCAGCTCCGGCCAAAATGACACTGAGGCAAAAAACCCAACCCCCTTTGCAATTCAACTCATGAGGTGCCGATGGGACTGAAAATGTTCTACATCACTGAGAGTCCACCTCCTGGCCAGCAGAGCGGCGCCAAACATAACATGATTTAACTCTTCGGAATTCTGCCCAAAACACATTTGGAACTGACTCGAATGGGACTCGAGTAAAGTAATAAATAAGTAAAATCTGAGAAGTCCACTAAGTACAATTGGAGTCAAGGACTCTCCATGGACAGCATCATAAGTCAAAATCAAGAACGCGGAACAGGACCAGAACTATAAAATGTCCTTCAATTTCCTTTTTTTCATGTGTATTATAGGATGCTGGAGTATTCAGCATATTGTGCAAAAGTCAGAGACCACCCTCCATTTATTTAGTGTCCAGTCAAAATGGCAATTATCGATACTGACCTTGTTAAACCAATTTGATATCGGCTAAATGTGTCAGATACATATCCGATTCAGTCTCAACAGAAAATTCTGCCAGCACCAGTTTGTCGTTGACCGCAGCGGTAGAATAAACCAGATGTTGATTTTTTGGGAGCCATGGACATCAAGTTCATTGTTGAGTTCCAGATGGGCTCAGTATTGTACAATAAAAATAAGAGAGTACAGAGCATCTTCCTGCTTTTTTCCACCTTACATAAACAACAGTCACTGATAAAACTCTTCTCTAATAATCATCCATTTAATTAAGAGCTGGTCACCAGGGCAATGTTTGCGAGGCTTCATGTCGCCATCAGCCACGAAACGCTATGAGATGTGGAGTGACTGTTGTTTTTTCAATGCAAACATGTGAACGCAGCATTGGTGTTCACTTCTAATGTATTATGCCAAAATGTTGTAAACATCTGAAACACTGTTTTCATTAATAGAGCAGAAAGCTCATACAAAAATGGAAAAGTCAGCAGAAAATATGTGAAAAACAGGAGTTCAAAATGATTAAAAGATACAGAAAGATTTGGATTCCTAACAACCAAGCAAGACCCGCTAGAGAATTTAGAACTGTCCCCATCAGATAAACAGCACTTGAAGCTTTTATCTTTGAGATAGAGAGGAGAAAATGCAACCAGTTTCTAAGACTGAACTTTGGAGCTGTGGTAAAATATTCCTGCAGAGTTCTTTGAAAAACTGAAAGAAAGACTCCTGAAAAGAATGGAAGCTGTAATAAAGGACACACTAAATACTGAAAATATAGGGTGATTAAAAGATTAATCTGATTTCAAAGCGCCATATTTTTACAACCGTGAGGCGCCTAGGAACCAATCACATACCAACTAAAAGAGGGGGTCACAGAGTTTCTGACTGTCACCGGGAAGATGGCTCCCTTCAGTCTGCGAGGAGATGGCAACTCCTGAGCAGAAAGCGTTTTGCATTCTCCACATTAATAAGAGTGAATCTGTCATAACTGTGCAACGTGGTTTTCGTCGGCAGTGAACCTCCAACAGCTCAGAGCGTTCGTCGTTGGTTCCACAACACTGGATGATCTCCGAAATCACATTGAAAGAGCCGTGAGAACAGTGACACCCGACATGCTCAATCCAGTATGGGATCAATTAGACTATCGTGTTGATTTTGTCTATTACAGATGGAGGAGGTTCATATTGAGCACTTGTAAAATTACCTAATAAACTTTATGCTCATTTAAACCATTTACAATTTACTGCATTGTTCTTTAATGATTTATAAGTGAAATAAATCATTTTTTTCAGATGAACCTTTTGGAATCACCCTGTATTCATATTATATTTAGTTGTTGACACTTCTGTGAAATTCCCACCCCCTAAAAAACCTACGTAACTCCACTTTTTTGATGATTTTTATTTTTCTACATAATTTGAGCACTGCAGTTGTTTAACAAGTTTAACATTGTGTCAAAATGTCAAGATAAATGGACAAATGGTAATAGTCTAAAACTACATAGAAAAAAATCTCAATACATTAACTGACATTAAAAGTAAAGAAGGCTGTTGCCTTCTCCTGTAAAGTTACCGTTTTGGAGCGACAATGTATTTTCTGCTTTCTTTCCTTATGCTAAAAAATAAATAACTCGTACTTAATATCTGTTTTGACTGGATACTTAATAAATAAAGGGTGGTCTCTAAATTTTGCAGTGCTTTAAATCCCAAAAAGGTAGTCAGAGATCTGACTGCTGTTACACAGATGAGTGATAGTGACATCAGTGCCCACTCCCAAACTTAACTACTGCTGATATCATGCCAAACTAGGCAGTGTCAAAGTGGAAAAAAACAACAACAAAAACAAAGAAGCTAATGGCAAAGATTACAATCAGCGGGTCTTTTCCCCAGAGATAATATAGGGACCTGAAATTGACTGCAGCTGGGCCTTTTAAACACAGGCCAAGCCAATTGAATCGTGGAAAACTGGTCAAGCCATGACTTCATTCACCAAACACACTGCAGACTTCTCCATTTGTCTCAGCCCTAAAAAAAAAAACTCTCCACACTCTCACCATTGTGCCCACTGGCCATGAACTGGAGTTTATCACTGCACTTATTATAACCAAGTGATATACTATAATCTTAACTGAGTGATTAGTAGAAAAACGGGGGAAAAGAAATACAAATTCCCACGTCAGGGCTAATGGTCAATCAAAATCATGGGGTGCTGTCCTGCTTTTTCCCATGATTAACCTTTCCCATGGATCAACTACTCTACAAACAGAGGAAGCAAAGCATGAGTAACCACCTGGGAAGCTTCTTTCAACCTTCAAAGATGTCTAGAAGAAAAAGAACTTTAACCAAAAGGATAGGAAGGAATTCTCATAGAAGTGCTTACAAACTACAAATGGTATTATGCATAAAAGTCAGCGAGAAAGAACAATGGGTGTATGAGACTAAAGGCTGCTTCTGTTGGGAACGTGAATGAAAGGTCTAGTTTCAGGTCTGGTTTAAAGCTCAATAGGATAAAAAACAATTGACCCTTTCTGGCTTCTTTTTTTCTCTTTTTAAGTCTGTCTCTCTCCCACCACATGCATGTGTTTTGTGCCAGGTTTTCAATCCCTCTTTTCCTTTCTCATCATTTTCTGAGTAATTACAGCAAAAACTACTGAAGGCCACACGATGGAAAATGACTATGGGCCATTCAATACAAGACAAATCCATTTAAGAGTTTGATGGGAATTCATTACTGCTATCCACAAAACAACTGTGCCATCATTCCAGAGACTAAGAGAAGCTTTTTGGTGCGCTCACCTCTAGCAGGTCAATCATGCGGGTCATCTGAGAGTAAATGAGCACACGATGGCCCTGAGACTTCAGTCGAGTCAGCAGCAGGTCCAGAGTGTGAAGCTTGCCGCTGTCCGTGATAAGACTCTCTTTGTCTGAAACAAAAAAGAACAAAGAAAACTTGGAATCGAAAAACAATCTATATCAAGAACATCTGTACTGCACTCTGTGATCCCACCAGGCCATGACTAACCATGACAAAAAAAGTACATCAAACAGCTCTATTACATCATCCTACATTAGGCTAAATATCAGGGTTAGGAAAGCTAATCTAAGACAAGATTGTGAAGAGGATTTATAGGATTAGATCAATAATTCAAGTTACATTCGTGACCAAGGTCAAGTCAGAACATCTGACTTTGCTTCCTCTGTTTGAATCAGGTGCACATTGATTACAAAAGCTTCTTTTGATTGCATGAACACGGACGAACAAACAACGCAAAAGAAGAGAGGTGAACCTTCCACAGTGGCCTCACTCAACCCCCTGACCCTCAAACATCAGATGTGACTGGGTAGGTGACCTTTCTGGTCATGGGTCTGTGGAAGTCACGACAGAACAGAGACAGAGCAAGCCTCTGGGGGGGGGGTATGGCGGTCCCCAGAGAGAGAACCTGTGACATGGCTAGTCCCGTCCAGCACAGAGATACAATACAGCAGCAGTGCCCACTGGCCATGCTAATGTGAACCAAGGATGAACCCTGACCCATCACCTCATAACCCAGAAAAGGCCAAAAAAGGTCATTTTCTCAAGGTGCTAAAGAGAAACTAAAAGCTATGATGGGGCCATTAGCCAGAGACTTTTACATCACACCACACACTTAAAACTAGCATCCCCACACAAGGGCTTGACCTATTGTTAGATCAATCACTTCTATTGCAACAACACAATAATTAAATTATACAAGAAATAAAACAACAAATATAAATAAACTATATATAAATACTACTATAAACAAAATAAAAACATGTTAAATGCATCCCAACTCTGGGAAACTCTGTCTGTCTGAGTTAGAACATTTACATTTCTTTGTAAAGTTACTGACTTGATTTTCTGTTGTTTTTGAGTTTTCACATCAAGTTATCATTACGGTTGGTTATAATAACTTTTAGCCCTATAAAATCAAACAGAACTTTCTTATTGGTTGGACCCAAACACAATATTTTTTCCCCATTCAGAATGGCTTTATTAGTATGACTGTATGAACTACAATACTGCCAAAGCAAAAAATGCAAGAACAACTAACCATATTAAATACTATAATTACAATAATAACATTATTAATTAAAATCATTAGAATTATAAATATAGGGTGGGGGTATGTTACCCACTGTCTCTCAGGCAATGACATGTTTTAGCAGCAAGGGGGCAGTGTAAATAGTTCAATCTAAGTATGAAATGTGAAATTATCCCTGGCAGATATTATAAGTTATCTTAACTTTTAGCCCCTTAAAATTGTAAATCGGCCACAAAATGTTCATACAATTGGACCGTAGGAGGTACTTTTTAAAATACAAACCTGTTGTTTTCAAGTTCAGGAAATATGGCATCAGGTTTCACAGTTGGCAACTAAAATGAATCTAAAATCTTAATAGAAAAAGTAAAATTATATGAGCTGATATATGGTTTTGAAGCGCTTGAAATTGCAATAACCAGTAATTAGTCACTAAATCGGTTGGGCTCTAAGAGTCAAACCACAAGCCTGTGGTAAAGTCTTCTATCCAGGTACTGTGATCAATTTTCTAGCATCATCTAGTGCATTTATGAAGTGTTGCTCCATTGTCGTGGCCGAGGCAGGCCTATAGTGCTGGGTCAGAATTAAAGAATCTGTCAAAAGAAAAATTAGGCAGACCAAAATCTGTTTTTTGAAGATCATACATGTATTTGAAGAGTCCATCAATCACTGTTGATCTGCAGTCTTTGTTCCTGCTTTGAACCCAGTGTGGTTTGATGAGAACAGACCCATGTCAAACACTCCTCCATCAAAGAGCCCTAATCTAATGGGTCTGGTGTCAGGGGACAAGGAAAGGCACAGGGTTGCCAGACCCTGTTTTACTAAGCTCCACAGGAAGGGAGAGGTAGATGTGGGCTGTGGGTTGATGCTGCCTTCACGGCTTTGTGCTACAGTGCCATCTTCAAGCAAACCCCAAACACCACAGGGCATTTGGAAAGAGACTGCTTTCCACAGCAGAGACTGGTCCAAGTGCTTCATGGAAACACACTACACAAAGTACCAAAATTGTCTTAATTTTGCATCTCTGAAGAGATGTGTTATTACTACATAATCTGATTTGAATATACTCCGTGATTTTCTGCCAGAGGATTTATTAAGCAGAAACGTAAAAGGAAAATAGAACAAAGGCAAAATGCATCTTAATGTCAGCCAAAAATGAAACAGTCAAAGTGTCAATCCATTTACAGGGAAATTATTCTGTAAAATGCACAGACCACAGTTCAATGGAAGCACCAGAGTCCAAAAAGGGAGGAGCCCAAAGGTAGCCAATGTTGTCCCGCACAGCCATTGCCATGGTTACAGTTATCAAGCCCAGGCACCTGCTGGTGGCTTTCCCTCCCCCACCCCTGAGGACCCTTTCCAAACCCCTCACAACGTAATCCAATCCCCACTGGCCAGCACTGGGGTCTGACCCCAGGGTGACCTCATTTAAAAAAAAAAGCCACAGAGCCCTGGTCGGGCCAATTAACCCCAATGCCTGCCACGTAAATGCTTTTGCGCTGCTTGCTAATTTCATTAAAGTGATCTCGGTGGTCTCACTGCTCCTTTGGCGAGGGGACCGATTGGAGAGCAGCACTGGCCGCTACTCTCTGGCCCTCGCTGCCATGAGATCATCTCGTTTGTTTACGAAGGCCGAGCTGAGCGGATAGCAACACCAACAACATGGGCACAGGGCCATAGTCGGAGTCTGTGATTAATGGAGGTAAAAGCCAGTTAACAAGGCCTTTCAGAGATCTACTACTGAGAAGCTAAAAAAAGAAATCATGAAACTTTTAACCTAGTGAGACTTTGAAGTGGGAAAATAATAATCATCACACGCACCACATTGAGCACTGCCCCCTATGGGTGGCCTTACTCCAAGTAAACACCAAACATCCAAATAAATAGTGAACACATATGACTAAAACCACAAAGAACAAATTCAACTTGAACTCATTCATCTGAAGTTCTAAAGTCAATTTTCAGTTACTTACACAAAACCAACATTAACAAAACAGCAAAAATGCCTGTCTATACTGTTAGCTGGCGTAATGATAGAGTATAACCATCTGGAAACATTTAGAACAAAACGATATCCTCTGGAGAAAACGTGACTGGTTTAAAAACACTGAAAACTGACCTTGCCTTGCCAATGATAACTACCAATTTTGGGGGATAAACGGAATGGCTCTAAGAGAGAGCTCTGCACCAGGGGTTGGGGGGGGATGTCAAGCTTCAAACTATTAGACAGGTGGGACGTTCTGCTCACAAGTCACATGACCAGGCCTAAGAGGTGAAAGGGCAAGGACGGGTCAGGTCATGGGACAAGACTGATACAGCTCGGGGTTTAGTGGGCTTGAATTTGATGACGTCAAGCTGGGGCTTAAGAGGGTGGGACGCAAGACCAGTGAGTTATGGAAGTTGTCATTAAGCCGTTACACATGTATGACAAACAGTTTGGCTGGTCTAGAGATGGCAAGAGGTAAACAAGACCACAGTTTCTCCTCACAGTACAGCTAAGCATGCAAAACAGAGTAAAGAGCTCCCCCTATAGGTCATAAACGAATTAGGAAAGTCAACACTCAAGCACAGTGGGGAACTTGTACAGCTGAGACATATGCCAATCTATAGACTAAAACTATACATGGAATAGGTGTAATAGTCCTCTGGACAGTCCTGTATGAACTGGTCTGAAGAAACACCTCCAGACCTGAATCCTGTTGAATTCTGGCCTTTCTTCTTAATCAAGATGGCACGACCAAGGTTTGGATCACAAACAATTACGTAGCCGCCAATGTTTGGGCCAAAAATCAAAAAAGGCCAAGAATATTTCCGCCCATTTTGCTGGAGCGCAGGGATTCTTTGAAGGAACAGGAAGGGAAAGCAGAGTTTCCCACAGGCTGTCTACAAGCTAAGACCAATTGCCGCTCCTCCTTCATCTCAACAACAGTGTGCAGCAGTGGAGTTCCAATAAAGGAAAAACAAAAAGTCACTGTGCCAGAGCTATTGTGAGAAAAGACCTTCATGCTACATTGCCCTGCCCTCTAATTAGCAAGTGTCACACAAAATCTACATCGGCAACATATTATTATAGCCAGTCTGTTTACAAAACACCCTGTAGGCAGCTTCACCACGTCAAAGATTCACCTCAAAATACGATTCTAGATAAAGTCATGCTGGAGCAAAAAGTTCACAGTGAAAAATACTAAACGTAGCCACATTCTGCAAAGTGGCTCAGCGGTGAACACAATGCACTTCACATATTTTGACTTAACGAGTCAACCAGCGAAACAAAGTCACACCACCCAATGTGCGTGTCTCGCTTGTGCTTTGATTATTTGAAATACTTCTGTAGCTTAGCTAATATGTTGATATTGCTGATTAGCCTGCATCACAAAGGGTATTCAAGCCCTCTTCCACCATCTTCAGAGGTATGGGCTCATAGGTTCCGCCAGCTAGATTGTGGGAGTAGGCAATCGCACTGCCACAGGACTTCAATGAGCCTGGCTCTATGTTGTGTCATTTCCTTCCTTGGGTACAGTATGACTCTGAGAAAATGGGAAAGGAGTGAGCTGAAACACCTTGAGTCTGTGAATGAGTGTTCGCACTCTCTCACACACATACACGCTCACACACAGCGCTTACCTAACAATGTGCTGAAACAATGTCCAATAGTCGAACTTCCTTGCTTTGTCCCCCCTCCCAACGTCTCAAGAGCTCACGGGCCTCCATCTCACAAACTCTGCTCCCAGCAGTTACACTGGCCTTGCATGTATGTGTGCAGCAATGTTTCAACTGGGCCAGTGCTCCTGGAATACCCCTGCCCTGCACGTTACTTCACTTCATCCACTTCAATGCAGAGAGGGCTTGTTAATTAGCTGATTAATTGGATCTGCAGGGAAGACCCCAAAATATGCAGGGCAGGACCAGGCTTGGGAACCACTTGCCTAAGAAAACAGAACTCTCCCTAGCTTTTCTGCTATCGCTCCCACTTTTGACAGCCGTACAGTGCTAACGTGTAACAAATGGCGGTGTGTTAAGCCAAATGGTGACAGTGACGAAGAGGTACAACAGGCCCAGGCCCTGACCCTAGACCAGCCAGGGCCGGTGGCTACCGTGACCTGTGCGACTCTCCCACGGGTATCCCTCCCTCCCCGGGCCGCTCAGGGGGCCCGAGCTGGCAGCCTCTCCAGCTCCTTCTGCTGCGTTTCCTCCGGCTCACACGCACAATGGCCTCTGGGACGCAGCTGCACCGAGGGGCCTCTCAGCCCAGCCTATCGCATGAGGCCAGCCAATGAAGGTTCGGGTTAAGAGACGAGCCGGAGGTCAGCTGAGAGTCTGAAGGTAGGGGTGTTTCTGGGGGTGTTGCCTTTTTACGGAGCCACCACAGCCCTTACCAAGATTTGTGTGGTGCTTTTAGGAGATATGCGCTTCCTTTTGAGACGCTTAAAATCAAAATGAACAAACTGTGAGAAAGTTTCTTGTCTTAAATAAAACAGTCAACGCAAGAACAATGGTCGGATACGGAGAAATGAAATACCACTCGGGCAAATGACTTAGTGCTGTTGGCCAGTAGTTTTATACTCAAATACACATTAACACACCCACATAGTACTAGGTGAAAGTTTTAGACACTTGAGAAAACTAGCAATAAAAACCTGTTCATCTAGGCGGTAAGCATTTATTTACACAGAAAAACACTAATATTAATAGTTACAAATGTCAAATTATTTGCTTACCCATTTCCAAACCTCTCCTCATGGCAGGCTGTATTAATTGTAGTTATCATCCCACACCTGATTAATCAACGCTTCATTATATTAAATGAGGTGAGCTTGTGACATCTGAGGTCTTCAAACTAGCTCATGCTTTTTACAAAATAGAAAGTTCTTATTACTTTTTACTGTATTTATTTTTTATGCATCCATTTTCATGATAAGGTCTTTTTATTCACAAAAACATTATTCCCAAGATAAATGGTTTTAAACAATGCTTAAGTGCCTAAGACTTTTGCACAGCACAGTACACCTACATAAACACATTAGGGTTCAACTAGCAATTATTTCTGTAATGGTTTAGCCTATCAAGCAAACGACTAACTGAACCATTATGCCTTCTGCTATTGCCATTTTCTATAACCTTGCATATGTCACATCAAGTCTGACATGTGGCCCCTTCCATTGTACCATGAAACAATAGAAGCCATATCACCCTTCACACTTCCTATGATGTACTGCAATCTTTCAGTATATAAACATTAGAGTGTCCTTCATTTTCATGCAAACGCATAGACTTTTCTTCACAATCAACATAATCAATGACTTGTCATCACAGTCAATTTCCACAGCCCTGATATACACATCACCACATGCATACCTGGTATCCTGATGAAGGACCAGCCATGTCTGGGCTGGAGGGCCATCATGCCCCCAGGGCTCTCAGGGTGAAAGGAGTGGGAGCGGGCAGCCCAGGCATGGGCCAGCTCTGGTGAGCCATACAGAAAGCACTGCTTAGCAGCCAAGCTCCCGCCATCCCGGACCTGCCGCCACTCATACTCGGCACTCCGATCCGGACAGCATCGCTCAATAGGAACTGCTGTCACCTAGGAAACAAAGGGAAAAAAAAACAGCAGAGTTGTTAAAATGGCTTGTGCCTATTTTGGGTGTTGACATTTGATCATGAGATGCATCATAAAGGCACCATACATCATGCAGGGATGCATTCTTTGGCTGAAATCTAATCCCAGCTTTGCCATGTGTCACCTGCAGTTAGGAGTCTTTAGGAACCGCACCTTATAGGGGAGATACTGGACACGAGAGCTCACTGCTTTCTCTTCTTTGTAGAGTGTCATTAATGATTAAGTCAGGTATCCACTAGCACAGTAAAGTGGAGAATAATTAGTGATAATGCCTTTAGACATGCTGATTGACTAGATACCAATGCTTTGCATACATCCCTCTGGAGGAACAGACTAATGAGACAAAGGCTGGAAACAACAGACAACTGTACTATCTTGAATAAAAAATAAATATATAAATAAATTAAAGTGAAATAGGAAAATCATCACCTGAAGTCTCTTCTAAAAGTTACTGCTGTATAACTGTTACCTACAGGCCTATAGGTCTTTTTAAGTTGTTCTTTTCCTATTGGTGATCAACACTGGACAAGCTGCATGGAAGAGAGTAGAATTTCCCACCGTAACACATCCACACGCACACACATACCCCTGTGTTTCCGATATTTCGGCCGAACCCCGCGGCTCTGACAGGAAAGCGTGGCAGAGGTCTCTAGTGCTAACAGCGCTAACAGGCCTTCGGGTAACAGATGACCATTTCCTGTAGTGATTCACGCCACCCTCACTCCCCTCCATTCTCTCTTTCTTTTCTCCTTCACATCTCTCTCTCGCTCTCTCTTTCAGCTCTTGCCGAGGGTTTTATGGCTTGCTGACAAGCGGATGATATTATCTTCCTTTCATTCTTATCACTGCTGAAAAACAGCTCAGCTTGGCCGGGCTTCTGGCTTTGGCGCGGACAGCTGACCAATGGGAGAATGTACACGCAGATGTGGCCTTAAAAGCCAATAAGGTCAAGAGCCCCTTGTGAACAAAGAGAGAAAAAAGTGCTAATCTATCTTATCACTTTCCCACAGTGCCCATATGCCCCTGGCGCCTGCGGGCTGGTGCCAACACCGTGCCAACTCCCACGGACACGCAGCAGAGTCATGAGGCCAGGCAGGCACAAACACAAGTTTTTCATCATACTTAAACAAACGTATGTGTTATCCTGAAAAGTGTGCTAAGCTGCAAAGTTTCACATTGACACTGAACGCTAATGCATGACGCAAATGTGTTACGATGACTAATTTTGGAGTGAATGCTTTGGCCATTTAAAAAGACTTATAATGATGCCTAATGCTGTAACTGTTTTGAATGGTGCACTGCAGAAATGCTCCAAGTTAGATTTTATCTAAATTTACTCAGAAACCGGTCAATGCAATTAGTGACATTTAATCTAATTTTATCCAGATACAAATCTCTGATCAAAATCTCCAGAAAATATATTAATTACTCAACCTTTCTCCAACTAAAGTCACTTTAGAAGCCCTAAATGCAGTTTATTCTGGGATGCATGTGCTTTACTGATTACGCTCCAGTCCGTCTGTGAGTTTAGAGAGGTAGCTCTCACAGACTGCTCTTGTTTCACAGTGGTGGGCTTGCGTTGTTTACTTGTACTGCAGCGAGGTCAGACCCAGCTGAGCAGCTCCTCTGTGAGGGACTCCGGGTGGATAAATAAACCACTCCTGCAGTCAGGGCAAGCCACTGCTTTTGAGGTTTTATTTTAGATGGACAGTTTGTTTCTGATGCCGCAGGAGATCGCTCTCAGGGGTTGGCCACCAGCGTGCTCTTCTATGCGTTTCAGAATCTGCGCTGCCGTGAAGTCCTGGTCCATGGGCCTGTCTCACGACGCAGGACACAAACTAATGCTTAGTTTGATCTAATCCAGTGCATGTTAAGTTCAGGGAACCCTTTTGCTCCTTTTCGGGTCTCTTCTTTTTTTCCCTTCATGACTGTTGTCACGTAAATCATGTGAAAATTAGAGCTTTTCAGAAGAGAAAGGAAATCATTCCACATAAATATCAAGAAAATAAAGCAATTATTCCAATAAGCACCAACTCAATGGCAGTGGTAACAGTATTGCTTTTTTTCCATTATGAATGCTTTACTTTTTATATTTACATAGTACAATTTCTTTTTCCTTCTTTGAAAAATTACCCACAACACCTTCATGTTTCACGTTTGCAGCTGTTTGTCATGTTTTCATGTGCATAAGTAGGAGGGTTAATAACAGCTTGAGTATCTAAACCTAGGTTAACAGAGAAAGTTGTTAATCAGTGTCATAAAACAAATCAACCATGGTTGGATTTGTTAGGTTTTGTGAAGCTGAAACTTTGGAACCCTGTCCAAGTTTAATGTGCTTCATGAGACAGGCCCCTGGAGTGCCCCAATGCCCTGTACTTTTTATTGTTTTCTCCACACCTGCTTCAATTCAGGCAGAGTTTGTTAACTAGCCGATCAGTCAGATCAGGTGTATTTGATCAGAGACAAACACTACAATATGCAGGCCAGAGCTGAAATCCACTGTTCTAGACTGGTATAGCCACTAAACACAGGAAATGTATACTAACTGACCTCCATGGTCAACTTACAAGTTTAGTTGATTTGACAATAAGTTAACACATCCTCTACAGAGAACACTTAAATACGAAAGTTTTTCTAGATCATATTTTAGTGCACAATGTCAGTTTATTCGCTTTGGCTGTCCTATCTGGTCTGTGTTTCTACTTACCGGAAGTTAACATACTGGAAAAAACAAAACAAAACTTTTGCACAGGTAACATTTTATGTTTTACTGAATTTTTTTGTACTAGGTTACATTCAGCAAATAATCAGTAATTGTGCATTAAAACGTGTATCTGTGCATCAGAGGTTTGTTCTTTGTAGGGGATGTGTTCACTTTTTTCATTCAGAAAAACAACACCACGTCATGTGACCAGGGGTGTCCAAAGTTTTGTAACTGTGTAGTTGGACCTGACTAAATTGATAAAACTTCCTGCAAATTATAATATGATCCCCACTTCATGCTGCTATAAAGACTGTGTGTGTGTGTGTGTGTGGGTGGGTGTGTGAGAGAGTGAGTGAGTGAGTGAGTGAGTGAGTGAATGAATGAATGTCAAATCCACATCTTATTGCATTGCACTGAAAACCTTCAGGATACCTACAGTGGAAACACCAAGTCTGTGCATCAATTCATAATGTATACAAACCACCTATTAGATGATACCTCCAGGTTTTGATTGCAAAATGGGCGGGTATCCAAATTATCTTCATTGTAAACCCTTTAGAAGTAGGATCAAGGTGCCTGTACTGATCCACTCAGACCAGCGCAACACACACTAACACACCACCACCACCACATCAGTGTCACTGCAGTGCTGAAAATGATCCACCACCCAAATAGTACCTGCTCTGTGAGGGTCCATGGGGGTCCTGACCACTGAAGAAGAGGGTAAAAGGGGGCTAACATAGTATGCAGAGAAACAGATGGACTACAGTCTGTAATTGTAGAACTACAATGTGCACCTATATAGTAAGTGGAGCTGATAAAATGGACAATAAGTGTAGAAACAAGGAGGTGGTCATAATGTTATGCCTGATTGGTTTTACAGCTATATAACAAAGTAAAATGCAATATCAGCAGCACATAGCAGAAGGAGAATGGTTACTTGATAAGTTTAGATTATAAAATACTTAAATTTAGAGGAAGGGTCATACTGCTCCTTGAGGTAGAGAAAAGAAGGGCTGTGTTTTAATTAATCCATTTTAGTTGAGGTGTAATATCAGTGCAACGCAACACAAATAAAAACTTCACTGCTCACCGACACATGGTTGTTACTTGGGAGTGTTCGATATAACGGGAAGCGTTTTAAATATAATGGGAGAGTCACTGTGCTTGCTGTTACTACAAGGTGTTAGAAGCAGAATGACTATTGGCCAAGCACATTTCCATGAACTAGGAACTTGTCTTGATGGAAGTGGTGCATACATAAACGGACTACACAGAAAACAAAGAGTAAACAAACAATACAAATAAATAGAAAATACGTATGCGCACCCTTACCCTGGGTGTAGCTGTGAGTATGAACTTGGGCGGCTGGCTGGGTTGGCAGGGTCTGAGGGAGGAGGTGGTGGAAGAGCGCCTACTGTAGACAATTACGTCTGCGTGTGTGAAGAGCCATGGATGCTGAGCTGTGAAAACCAGGTCCTGAAGAAAATCAAAGCTCAGATTAACATGACAAATCACATCTTCAGTCACTTCATAACATATTGTCAGTGGGAGTGTATCTGATCTGATGCCTGTGTGCGAGAGAGAGATAAGGAGAATTTGTATTGTCACTGTAAACAAGAGTAAATGGTTACACAGCACCCCCTAGTGTCACCTCTCAACATTGCAGCCAGCCCTTAATTGAATTCAAAACTATATTTTCCACAAACGCATGCCTCATCTCTGCTTACAACACCCTCAGAGACACTGCAGACCACCAGACACTTACAATGACTCATACGAAGCCAAAAGACCAACATAAGACTGAGTTTCCATGAAGAATGCACAAAAGTGGCTGTCATAAACAAGGCTGTGTTCCTCACTGAGTGCTGACTGAGAAGGTGTGAGAGAAAAGTGCTGAGAGCAGAAGGGAAGGAGAGAGAAAGAGAGAGAGAGAGAGAGAGAGAGAGAGAGAGCGCAAAAGAGAGAGGGGAAAGAGAGAAAAAGAGAAACAGAATAAGAAAGAGGGGGAAAGAGAGACAGAGAACATGTGAAAGAGTAAGAGACAGAGTCAGTGAGAAATAACATGAGAGAAGGACAGTCAGAAAGAGTGAAAAGAAAGAAATGAATGAAAGAATTAATAAAACAAAGAGAAAGAAAATACAAAGAGTCAGTTAGAGAAGGTGGGAGAGAGAGCGAGTAAGACAGAAAGTGTCTCAGACAGTGAGAGACAGAGAAAGGAAAAGAAACAAAGAGAAGAGATGGAGAGAGAGTCTGAGAAAGAGACTATGCAAGAGATGGAGACAGCAAACGAGAGACAGACTCAGACAGTGTGAGACAGTAAGAGATGGAAAGAGAGAAAGAGAGAACCCCAAAGAAAGAGACAGCGAGGGCGAGCAAGAGAGAGTGTGAGATAGAAAGAGTCAGAAACAGCGTGAGAGAAAGTGAGAAAGAGAGAGAGAGAGAAAGAGAGAGAGAGAGATTGACACAGTGCACAAGAGAAAGAGAGGATGAAGAAAGAGACAAAGAGTGCATGAGAGAAAGAGAGAGAGAGACAGAAAGAGAGAGAGAGTCAGCAGGAGTGGTCGTGTCTGGAGACCTGCTGTCTGGGCTGCGTTCCCAACCACAAGCAGAGAGGGAAGATACGTCTGGAAACTCTCACCAAGACGAACATGGTTGGAAAATGCGGCGGCGGAGAGGCACGAGCATCCAGATCGCAAAAATTCTCACTTTCCGAGAGCGCTAAAACACCCTTGTAGCTACATAATCAAAGAAATAATCAGAAATTATCAGAAATCATATCAAAAAGGGAGCACATCCTACACTTTTCTTGTATTCTACTTTTCCTCTGAGGTTCACTTATGGAGCCTGTGTGGGTTTAACAGTCATAATTCATTTTTCCAGCCACTTTTTTTATCCCCTACAAATAAACATGTCGTAATGCCTTTAACACTGATATACGCCAGCTTTGGTTTTCCATGATATGGGCCCTTTACGTTAATAAAAAAGGAAAAACAAAATCAATGCTAATATGATGGAGTGCCTCAACAACACCAATGCCTTGGCTCTGAATGCCCTTTCGCTCCTAGATGTTGAAGTTTTGATTGTATCTACAAATCTCTCTGCACCAATCAGGCCTCGGAGACACAAGGAACCAACACCATTAATTTGGCCTCAAGTAAGCAAGAAAAGCTTCCAACACAAGTATAAAGCACATAGTTTACAGCACCCAGATTTCCGTACTCGTACATCAGAACCCAGACAGGACTGTGCTCTGTACTCTTCCTTTAGCAGAGGCCATGGCACATCAGTTTTCTGAATAAATACAGAAAACTGAGATGGGTTTTTGCTCCAACCTGGAACACACAAAGGGACTTGACGGGAGGTTTGGAAAGCTAAGTGTGGGGCAGCTGCTTCCTCTTTCATCCGGAGCAGAGCCAGCAGCTGAGGGTCAAAGTTCCTCAGGCTTTGAGCTTGGGCTGTGCTGCCTGTAAATCATTATCTCAATATTAGCCTTGACAACACTGACAGCAAATGAGGCTTCAAAGAAAGAGCAAAAATGTTTTATTATGTGGTGTGAGCATCCTGATCAATTTCGGACATTCCAGATTAGTGTTCAGCACAGGTTTTCATAAATCAAGGCATTTACATAATCCAAAAAATGCAGATAGTGTTGGTCAAACTAAGAAAATCCAGTCTTTGGCCAAGAAGGGAACACACAAAGTGTTTTTTAGGGCTGCCCCAAAGATCAATTCTGTCTGGCTAACAACATTTGTTTGTTTTAAGAACAAAATTATAGTTGAAACTGTAGATGTTTGGCTCATGGATGCTAAAACCAACCAAATTTAGGTCTGAAATTCAGTACTGAATGACAGAATTTTTGATACTAAGTCAGTTCCATGAAAGCACTGAGCCCTATTTAGGACTGTAAGCAAATTTTGATACAGCAATATATCATGATAAGTTTGGAGCCCCAATGCATAAATATAGTGAAATCTTTTTAATTTGTGGCATTTACAAGATGCAACACATGGCAAATGTGCACAGAGTGAAGTTTTTAAATTAGTTTATCTTCTGCTGTTGTGTGCATGAATTAAGTGAGTATCCATTACTAACTGTTAGTTTGAAGTTGTAGTGAGTTATTAGCTTGTAGCACTGTTAAAAACTAAATGGATGAGGATACTGTGCTTGGTGTGTGATCTGCGGCATGTTTTATTTATTTATTTATTTTATTTATTTATTTTTTGTTCAGAGGTATTTATTCATTATTCTTGTATTTTTTTTTTTTTTAGACGAAAACAAAGGTAAATGGAAATAAAAATGCCATGGCACTCCCTTACATTACTTTTTATTCATTATTAATTTAGTTTTCAAACAAATTTTAAAGTGAACATTGACCAAAAAAATCTGTTGCAAATCTGGTGAAGTTCCTAACAATACCCAGCCCTAAAACTTGAATATAGTTCAAGAGGCGTACCACTACCTCAGCAAAACGAAAGCTTCCCTTTAAGGTGTAAATTACATTATCCAACAATATTCTTTATTTACAATATTTTTATTTGCAATAAAATATTTTTTCCAGTATTGTTCGTATTGAACAGCCCTACTCTGAGCGTGGTGGTGTAGGCCAGTGGAAGCTTGGCGCAAGCCTGTAGGGAGGGTAAAGTTAATGTTTACTGTGGTGTCAGATTCCTGTCCATGCCCCAGTGGAGCTGGGAGACGCCGTGCAGTGCAAAAGGGCGAGGAGGAGCAGAGTAGGATTACGCTTCTGTCAGCACCTGAGGACCGGAGCTTTCCCCTGCCATCAGCTTTCCACCATCCCAATACACAACTGCAACACACAGCAAGCCTTCCTCCTGCTCCAGCAGCTCCGCTACAGAGCGTCAGGATGCTGGGGACTTCAGAACTGGATTAATTTACTTGACTTCTCAACCTCTACTCTGCCATCTCTGTTCTATTCCACCACAGTTCTCTTAAAGGAATAGTTTGGTCAAAAATCTGATTTACACTATTTTTTCCTTAGTTCAAAAACAGCCAAACAACAGCAGTGCAGTAGATATATGAGGCTAATGTTGCTAACAAGTAAAAGAACACTATTAGCATTGTGCAAACTGTCTAAATCATCACAAACTTGCCTAAAATCCATTAAACTTGTTAAATAATCTCAAAAATACTTGCTTATGTGTTTTCTGAAACTATGACAATATTACATCTATAAAAAGGGACAAAAAGCACAGATGTAAATTAAGGCAGGGGATGATTTGGAGTTGCACAATGCTAATTGGTAAGGTATAAGTGTCTTTGGCCCAACCTACATCTCCGAACTAGGGTCTCTGGATTCTGGACCTAGGTTTTGTGAAGTTCACCAGACTGCTGAATTTGATCATGTCATATCATGCTGCATGGCTGCAAGCAAAAAGGCTAATGAGATGACTTGACGACTCACTTCTTTGGTTGATATGACACCAAATTCTACACATTCGCACACAAGTTATGCCTTACTTCAAAAGTTTTTAATTAATTAATTTTTTTGGATTGGATTAGAGATACAGATTGGGCATATTACTTGTTAGCTACATTAGCCTAGTATCTCCAGTACAAAAATAAGAAGCAAATTTCAGACACAAAATATTTCTTAGCTGCTCAATTACATATACAGGGGAAGACTGTATAAGTTTGATTTCTTATCAAACTAGTCCTTTAAGCAGCAATTTCTTTTAATTTAAAATGAGTAAAAATGGAGCGATGAGAGGCTTTCAGTGCATACAAAGTGAAAAATGAGTTCTAGCAGCTAATGACTGATGAGGACCACTCAGTCCCACTCTGTGAAATAACCCAATGAGGGAGCAGATCAGCTCTCACACTCAGCCTCAAACAGCTCTGCTCACACACACAGAGCTCAACACAAACAGTGTCCTGTTTCCAGTGCAGCACAGCTGACTATTCTCCTAACCAAGAAGACAGTGAGCATTTTGGAAAAAGTCAAATCCCTTTTTGTTGTTATTCATAGAAAAGAGGCTTGTGGAATTTTAATTAGATAACTAAACATTTACATTTGAGCTGTACTAAAGGTTTCACAACAATATCGCAGTGATATGGTAGGGATTTGGATCAAAAGCACAGTACATTAGCAGCGTTCTTCTTCAGAGAGAATTCATCAGTGGAAAACTTAACAACCTGCAGGTAAGAAAATGTGTTATGTCAACAACAAATGATGACAGATCGTCTTCACCAGCTGGCGCATGTGCCAGGAGCCACAGTGAAGCAGAACCTATTGACCTTAATAGATAACAGAAAGCAGTAGTGTGCAAATAAGTGCTTTAACAAACTGCAAAAGGTTTCATTATGGCCATCCTGACCCACCTTAGATGTCCCATATGTAACACTGTGTAGACCCAATGAAGCAGAACTTAGTGCATTGCTGGGGATGCACCAATATAGGAATTATAGGTTTGATGCTAATATATGATTTTTTATGTACATATCTGCTGATGCCTATACATATACATTTGTAAAATGTTGAAATTGTGACTAGATTCTCTGGATCAGCATTACAGAGAAATATAACAGCTATTTATAGAGGGTTACAAATGTAGCAAAATGAAGAAAATGCAGACATTTTAATATTGTAACCTCATGCTCGGACACTTTTACAATAACACAAAGTGCAGTCCTTGTGAGAGTGGGGTGAACCTGTGGCCCCATGACACCCAGAGTGACTCACCCGCAGGACAGTGCTGCTGTGCGTGTTGGGGAATGACGTTGGCCTGTCTGGCCACAGGACAAAGTCTCTGTTAGAAAGGCAGTGACCTCCAGAGCTCCACTCAGCCTTCCTCTCACAAACCTCTGCTTCAGCCCACAGCCGCTGATGATGGAGTCGATGGGCAGATTTAAAGGAGAGGTAAAGTGCTAGCCATCTGAACAGAGCAGAGAGGACAGGAGTATTTTAGGAACTGCATGATTGTAGTATCCCATACCTGGATGTTGTATGTTTATAAAAAGAATTGATTCTTATGCTTCTACTACTTTCGCATTTGACTGAAAATCAGTCTACTAACTACACTTATTTCTTCAGATGGGATTTACTGCAAAACATTCTTGCAGCTTACTTACAACATAGAGACTATATGGGCTCTGAACTTAACAACATATTTTTACCTTTATTGTTTACACACCACAGTTGGCTCAACATTGAAGGCTAAACAGGAGCATCAATTCAACCTTAGATATTCCTGTTCTTATGTTTTGGTGGGAAATTGCATAAAATTGATCTAGAAATTAAATGCAGTTTTGCAAGAAGCTGCGCAAATAACCTTGTCAGTGTGCCCTGCAGCATTTGGTTGGACATCTCTGCTGGTGACACATCAATGAACCGGAGAAAGGAGAAGCAGCTGCTTTCATCATCACCTGAAGAGTTTATATATTTACAAAAAAAGAGCAGGGGACATATTTTGTTAGAAACAGTATGCATCACTCACAGAGAGAGAAGGAAAGAATGAAAGAGAAGGAGACAAAGAGAGAGACAGATCTCAAGATCGAGAGAAAGAAGAACAAGAACGAGAGAGAGAGAGCAAGAGAGAGAGAGAGAGAGAGAGAGAGAGAGAGAGAGAGAGAGAGAAAGCAAAGAAAAAAAGAGCGAGACAAAATGAGAGAATTAGTAAAAAGACAGGGTGTGAGTGAGACTGAGCAAAAGAAAGAAAATCAGAGAAGAGAATCAGAGAAGAAGAGGCAGAGGTAAAGAGGGACAAGACTCACTTTTCCTGTGGAATAAAGACTGCTGGATGTGTTGAGGGGAAAAAGGTGAGAGCAGAACCTGCAGCAGCCTGTAAGGCAGAGGAAAGAGAGAAAAAAAAAGTCTGACAAGTTACAATTTGCCTATTTCAGCCACTTTCAACACATGAAACATGATATTTAAAAAAGTAAAATAATGGGGAAAAAACTTCTGAGGCGTACAATAGCCATGGTCAACTGTATTTATGAACTCACTTGGCCCTCCCCTGACTGCAGCTGTTGAGGAGGCCTTGGCGAAACAGGAACTTGGACATGATGAAGGGCTTCAGAGACATGTGAAAGGGTGAACGTGTCTCCTGCCGCTCAAAAAGGTCTGGGTGGTTGCACACCTACATACACATAACACATAATGTAATCTCCAGTCCAAAAGAGCTGTAGAATCCTTTATAATAGAATCCGATTGAAAACATGACTTGCCGCTATAGCTCTTCCAATGAAGCTCAGTGGCCCCTACCTTTCTGAACTGCATGACTAGGTTCATGAGGCTGCTGGTGGTGCTGTGGGCTTGCTGGGCTGTGCCCATGGACGACTGCAGCAGGTCCTCGATGGAGATCTTGTTCTTCAGGGCCTGGTACAACAGCCTCTGCCTGCTCGTCAGTTGGCAATACGTCAAGATTTCAATCTGGTAAAAAGAGAAGCCAGGGAGTGAAAATCACACAAAAAATTGAGAAGGCCTGGACTAAAAGGGTTTTATTGTCAATGGTGGGAGGCAGGAGCAGTACCTTGTCCGAGAGCTCGTTCTCCACATCTTTCTTTATTCTGCGAAGCATGAAAGGCTTCAGGATCATGTGCAGTCTGGAGAGCTGATCTGCCGTTTAAAGATAGGACAATAGCTGTCTTTAATCAAAAACCTACTCCAAGCCATGGATCATTTATTGCGACAGATGCTGCACGTTAAGCAATTTATATCAGTTATTTATGAATAAGGCTTCAGAGGGCTAGCTGGACCACTTCAAAAAACACCACCACTCACTCTCATCGATGGCAGATTTGTTCTCGGCATGGCTTTCTATGTCTTTGGAGAACCACTCATTGAACTCCTCATGAGAGTCAAAGAGAGTTGGCATGATGAAGTGAAGCAAGGCCCACAACTGAGAAGTAAGGAAAAAAATAGATTTAGAAAATCCCTCCAATCTCTCTCACTCAAACACACAAAAGCAGGATCATTTTTACAAAATGTCAGGACACAGGGTCATTCATATGTCCCTTACTATATGTACTCCTTTTATTCATTCACTGGCCACTACATACCTTGTATGTACACTTATTGTCCATTATATCCAGTCCACACATCATTTGTTAGACCCCTTTTACCCTGGTTTTCAATGGTCAGGACCCCCCAAGGACCAATACTGAGAAGGTGGATCATTCTCAGCACTGTCAGGGTCTTACACTGTTATGACTGGATGAGACACAGCAGTGTTACTGGAGTTTTTTAGCACTGTGTTCACTTACTGTCCACCCTATAAGACACATCTGCCTTGTTGGTCCATCTTATAGATGTAATGTCAGAGAATACAGCTCATCTGCTGCACAATTTGCATTAGGCATCTTTCACTCCCTCATCAGTGGTCAGTTTCTGGCCACAGGATGCTGTTGGCTGGATATTTTTGGTTCTCAGTACCGCAGTGACACTGAGTGGCTTAAAAACTCCACTAACTGCTGTGTCTCATTTGCTCTGTGCAGCTTTCACACGCTAACACACCATCACCATGTCAGCGTCACTGCAGTGCTGAGAATGATCCATCACCAAATTAATACCTGCTCAGTGGCCCTGTGGGGGGCCTGACCATAGACCTCTGAGGCCCTGTTGTCATTCTGTAGTGGTGTCATGACATTTTAGGAACTCCAGGTCTCCGCTTATTTCTTTGTGAAGAAAATGAATGTTGAAAATTGCTGAAATGGTGCCCTGTGGTTAACATAAATGTTCCAAAGTTCCAAATGCTCTAAACGTTTTTCCGTACAGACATTTTTTCTCTGAATGTTGCCAGATCCTCTGAATCACAAGAGTTTTAAGGAGTTGAATTACAACTACTGCTACTACCAAGCTACTGACATCATAATATTGGCAACCTCACCAATATACACCACATAAATCAGCAAGCTTTGCCAAAAATGTTAGCCAAGTTGATTTAACAGTAATAGCCTACACTTTAAGTAGCTGGTGTTATAGTACTGTTTTAGTTTTTATAGTGTTTTTGTCATGTCAGTGTGCAGGAGTGCTAGTTTGCTAAATTTGACTGATATTTCAGATCTTGATGTATTTACTGTATTCCAGAACAGGAAAACGTTTAAGATGCTGGGCTACTGTGCTAAACTGGCTGCATTTTATGAATGTTACTGCATTTGTTCCTAAGGACAAAGGAATTTTCTCTCAGCTTGCAATGAGCTAATCTATGTTACAGTGAGTGAAAATCTCCTTTGAGGAACTTTTTCTCACGAGCGGAGTAACAGCTGTGCAAGTGTTTTATGTACTGCTGATTTGTGTTTTTGTATGCCTTTTGTTGAAACAACCTCAGGTTTTATAACTTATAAATTAAAATTATTATTCTTCTTTTTAATGTTAATATAATACTTCTGTTGCTATTATGCTTTAATTTCTACGTTTTAAACATATTGTGTATTGGCAGATATGTACATAAAAAAACATAGGCCCATAATTCCCATGTTGGTGCTTCCCTAGGCAAGATGCCAACTACAACATGACACATGACTTCCTATATGTTAGCCTTGCTTCTTCTGTTTCTATCACAAGGTCAGGACATTTTTGTCCTAAAAAAATGTACAAAAACAAACATCTTGTGTGAGCTCACCTCAGCCATCGTGTTCTGGATGGGTGTTCCTGTTAGTAGCAGCCGGTTTCGGCACTGAAACTGAAGTAGGATCTTCCACCGCACGCTGTTGAGCAGAACCAAACACCACACACCCCCATCAAACAGCTAACACATACCGGGCTCAGTGAAAGATCTAACAAGACCTATCAAGCATGTCAACAGCAGTGAGGCACAGACTGAAACAGACACAGAACTCCAACACAATCTCAAACTAAGCCTCTGCCTGACTGTGGGACTTAAGGGAATAAAAAGCTTGTTGATGCTGCTCTGACGGCCGCAAGAGGCTCTCAGCATGGTCATAAATCATCTTTCACCACAACAGAAGCTGCTGGCGCATGTGCTCTCAGCCCCAGTCGGGTACAATCTCACACGTCGCATTTGGGAGATGGGTTCCAGCCCAGGCCTGGTGTTAGCACAGGCCCAGAGATGGGGAAAGGCAAACATCTGAGACGCCACATTCTTTTAGAAATTCTATCCATATACCATGTTTGAAAATGATGAAAAGCCATCATCCAGCTAACATCAGGGACCATTTGAAGTTTATTTTAGTTGACTGTTTTGGCAGAATGAGTCAGATAGGGAGACAAATGTGGGTGTTATTATTGTTTAGTTCAACTTGTAATAAACCAGTATTTGTTTCATTTGTCTTTACATTACTGTGCAGAGATTTAACATAACTTGTTTTTAAAGTAAAACTTAATTTCACTGCTAACATTTAATAATAATAATAATAAAACAACCATCCACAAAGCATCTTTGGTTCACTGGTAATTCATATTTTTGAAATGAATATGCATTTCAAAACTGAATCTCATGTCCATCTGCTTAATTACATTAGAAATACAACTGGTAGAATTGGCCTACATAATCTCACAGCTTTAAAACCTCATATCTCCAAAACAGCAATTTTATAGCAGAAAGTAAAAATATCTTTCAATTGAGATCAATACTAACACAGATGCTAAAACCTGAATATCGGCCACTACCAGGAATACTTTCGCCGAGAAACTAAACATAGGCTATAATGCTCAAACTACTCAAACACTCTACTAGCCCACAGGAAGAAAGAACGACATGATATCACACAATGTAAGTAAGTGCAGTTTCAGAACAGATTTGTTACAGGATCAGATCAGATTCATTCATTTTTGCCCTCTGATATCCAATCCAGCATTTTCTGATATCAGCCTGATACTAAAACCTGTCAATACCAATATGTCATCTCTAACTTAAATTAAATAGAATTTTACTCCAAGCAATTTCAAACTTTCTATTGGTCCATTGACAATGAAACATTCACACAATTGAAAAGCCAGTTGTTGCTCTATAATCGCGCCAAAAAAACTAAAAGTAAAGGTTTTGAATGGACAGCCATGACAAACTTCTGGTTCATTACCTGGTGCTGCTCTTCAGTGCCTGGGCCTCGTCCAGAACCATGTATTGCCACTTCACTCGCTGGAAGTACTTCACGTCTTGCACCACAAGCTGGTAACTGGTGATTACTACGTGGAACGGAGCATTCTGTGTGTACAGGGTTTTCTGCAGAAGCCACAAACGGACAAAACATAGTTGATTTCAGAGGTTCTGTGAAGTCCAGTGTTCCCATAGCAGTTGGACTAGAGTGCACAGAAAAGCTCACCTGGCTCCAAAACTTTCGAATCACTTTGCGGTCGTGGGGGTTCCCCCAGTACGGCAGCACCTGCGGACAAGAAAAATAAACAGATGACAGACTGATGGTTAGTTGGGAGACTGCCTGCACATGGTGTCAGTAAATCTATTAATCATCACTGCAAGAAGTTCTTATGGCTGTGCAGAAATTCGCACATGACACCAGACAAGTCCTCAGGGTGTTCTACAGCCTTAGCAACCCCACTAAAGATCACAGAAGGGACCAAACAGAAAAGCCAGAGTATTTTCCGCTTAGGTTTACAGTAATTAATCTCATCATTCCTTGTGTGAAATATTTTGTTCAGTTGTAGCTGATTTCTTTTTAACCGTCGCAATAATAACAGCCATTAACATATTTCAAATTCCTTGTAGGTCCAAGGCTTAACTTAAAAAACATGAACAGCAATGATGCAACATTGCCCCCTACAGATCAACATATTTTTCAATCTCATGTGGCTGCACAGACCTGCCGTGTGTTTCCTTACAGTTGAGGAATGGCAAAAATAGGCCTAGGCAACCTTGCCTGAGTGTTATTGTTCTGAAAATAGAGCCGGTTCAGTGGGTTTATGAAAGAAGGGATAGTAAGAAGAGGGCAGTATTTAAAGCATTCTGCAATTGCAGGTGTCTTCCTGTGCAGCTGCGACACTCACCTTGAATTTCGGCACAAAGCGGGTGAACTCTTGATGCCAGTTGTTGAGTGTGGAGGCTGGGGAGATGATCAAGAAGGGTCCCCAAATGTTGTCTCTCTGCAGAACAGGACACACATGGACACACGCACATGCGCACGCACAGAAAATAAGGCCAACACACAGGTGCGTGGGGGGGTGGAGGGACGGGGAGATGGTGGGAAAGACATGGAGAGGAGAGAGGGGTGAAAACAGGAAGCAACTAAAGAGGAGACAACATGCAAGCTCAGTTTCCTATGGACCCTGAGGCACAACTCTTTCATATCAAATTCCAAAACTCCCCAAATTCCATTTCCTCCCTGCTTTGAAGGCCCCAAGGGCTGAGAGACACAGCGGAGGCAGCTGGAGAGTTCCCACTGACACCAAAAAACAGCAGCTTGCCCTCTGGATAAATGTATGTGCGACTGAACAGAATTCGGCACAGGAAAATGGAACGGGTGAGGTGGAAGTACTACTACTCATTTCTTTTTTTTGGGTCACAAATAGATTTATCTATCAGGTTTCCCCAAGAAAGTGAAACATAAGCACAGCTGTGTGGCCCAGTGGTTTTAAACTTCAGTCATGTAACTCACTGCCTTGCACCATTTCAACTGTTCACGTTCCTAATATACCTGATCCTCATGCCTCATCAGCAAGTTGGTTCAGGTGCCTGGGGCTAGAGGTCTGCACAGGAATAAATTGAAGCCCAAACTCTTTGAAACACAAACTTAACCCAAACAGAAATGGACTGTCACAAAGACACTTTTACAATGCTTTGCTTTGCTACTAATGCTGTGCCCATGACAACTGGGAGCTTTGAATTTTTTCAGAAGAAAAATACTAAACTGTCACTGGGGTACCCCTCAAGGATACATCTCCAGCGCATTATCTCCACACTCCTTTTGTTTTATTTTTCTATTTTAAATCACTAGTACAATTCTATGCACATTTCTTCTGGGAAAGTGAACGTACAGAAACTTTAAGACTTATTTAAGGTACCCAACTGGACCTTTGAAGACAAACTTGCATTGTACCTTAATGAAAGAAAATGTAAAGTTGCATGAAAATAAAATATAATCTACAGAAAAACAAACTTAAATATTGCAAACTTAAACTTTCACGTATTGGAACCAATACAACACGCAGTGTCACATCATAATGTGCCATAACTTTTCATGCCACATTTAATGTTCTTTTTTCTGCCAATATATTACATTCAGCAAATAGACAGTAATTGTGCATTTGATATGTGCAGAAGTGTGTTCTCTCTAGAGTATGTGTTATTTTCACTTTAAAAAAAAATCAGCAAAACATGTCATTTGAATGGGGCACCCAAACTTCATCATATGACTGTAACTGTTCAGTGCTTTTTTCTTTGACAGTGCACCTCCCACTTAAAAGCATTCAGCTGTTTGAAATGGGTGAAAAGGACATTTACAGTAAACCAGTCCTTGTTTGGCTGATAGAGAGAGCTAAAGAGATATTCATTTAAACAGGCATTTGCCTTCAAGTAAAAATGAAAGTACTATGTTAAAAAAACACAACAAAAAAAAACAATCACTCACTAAAAAAACAAACCTAGCCGAGCTCCACCCGACCCGGTCAGTGTTCATGAAAAATTGGCCCAAACTCAACTTGAAATCCAATTTTTTTGTAAGGCCAAGTCAGGCTCAGGTCGAGTATCAGTCCTCTAGGTGGGGCTGGGAATACTTCACCCTGTTCAGGGCGGTGGCTCTCTAAGACTAAAGCTAGGAACCACTGTGCTTGAGAGATTACTAGGGAAAAGGAGCATACTGGTGTGCACTGTCGATGGGTCTCAAGTTACTATGGAAAGTGCTTACCTCTGCCAGGTGGGCAAGCAAGGCGATGCTCTGGACTGTCTTGCCCAACCCCATTTCATCTGCCAGGATGCCATTGATGCCCTGAGATACAGAGGGCATTAGAGTTCGGCAATATGGCAAAAATGTAAAATCACAGCAAGAAGTTTTCACAATTCACAATATGATGAAATACTTGTTTTTTACTAACATTGCAACATTTAACATACTCTGCTACATTCTGTACTAATCCAGTCGAATAATACAAATTATGCCCCTGTTGTAATCAAACATGCATGTAGGACGCGTTAATAATTTATTACAATAACAATAAACAGTCATTTTGCCCAGCCCTAAACAGCATACATCTTTCTCCACATACTTTCTCCATACATCAAGTGTACATGTCTGCTGGCACTTACCTGTTCATAAAGGTTAGCTAACCAGTTCATTCCTTTTAGCTGGTAGCCCTTTAGCTTGCCATTGAAAATGGTGGGCTGAGGAATGTCCTCGCCAGCCTGAATTGAAGGGTTGGAGAGGCTGTAGCTCTCCCCAAAACCAGAGCCTGAAACACTAGCCACATGCAGAGAAGCACAGCGACTGTCCTTCGCCTCCTCATCAAACTGCCTCGTCTGCATCACACACAGTGGGAGACAACACAAATCAACACTAAAACCGTGTCACTGACAGCCAGGAAGTGACTTCACAAACATCCAGTTTGATTAAGGTTCTTTAGGAAATGGCTCAATGCATCAAGAAACCACAAATGTCAGCACAATTTGATTTGATCTGTTTTTTGGTACAGAATTACCTTTGAAAACTCTTGAAAACTTTACTCAACATTTACAGACAATAACAACTATTTTTTTTTTATTTTGAAAATAGCAAGAGGATTTTAATTTGGTCAATAAATTTGTGCTCACTTTATTGAATATTATTATAATTAGGGATGCACTGATCTGTGAATTGTGGGTTCGGATGTATAACGTTTTCACCCCTACTAATGCCACTGAAAACGTAAAGCACAACTTCTGCTCCACTATAAACCCTAAGAAAGGAAAAATGTTTTCCTCCTTCATATACTCACTCTGGCCTGGTGAATGTGGTACGCCTCTTTTGCATTCCGCAGGGCTTGAGACTTGTAGTATTCGCTGTCTGTAGAAAACAGATGTTAGAGTGTTTGTTAACCACCAGAGATAAGCACCATGCAAAGAGTTTCTCACCATGTCAGAAAGCAAACAATAAGATCAATTATACTCTCACACATGACAATGACAGTGATCTGAGTGGACTGTAGAGGCCTACCATAATCCTCCTGACCCATGTTGACCATCACTCCCCCACCAATGTCTATCTGCCGCTGGGCTGTGTTTTCGTCCAGCTTCCGGAGGATCTCCTCCTGACTGCTGTCTCCTCCTACTGCGTTGTGCTTGCCTCCCATGAAGTGGGCATACAGCTCAGTCTGCGTGATGAGGAAGTTTAGCTTCCGCTGCTGTCTCTTGGCCTAATCAGACACAGGATGGGGGTTAGAGCACACAAACGATGACACTGTACATGGACATGTGGGTGTGTGAATATCTGTATTCATACATGTTGAGGACAAAAATGTCTTCTCCTCAAAGAAAACCCAAAGAAAAACATGGGCAACCTACAATGTCAGGAACAACAAAATAGCCTTTGTAAAGTGTTTTTACAAAAGCTTTATGTTTCACTTTGTTAAACTGACACAGGAAAAAACATTTTATTTTTGTTACTGATGTTAAGTTAAGGGTTAGACTTAGAACATTTTCATTATAGACAGGCAGTTATACATGGGCATATTCTGGCATTCAAAAGTTTCAAATCTCTGTTCAGCTTGGAACAGATGTTTTTAAAAACATAAAACCAATTTGACTTTTTGAATGATTAAATGATTCTAAAATTTTAGTCATGCACAGTCAAACTTCACAGGTCTCAAATTAGCATGTCATTAGTAGGACCTTTTAGATGTGTACAGAATGATGAACGGAAATGATTCTAAAATGACATAGAAAGCGGTAAAACATGGAGAATTTAGCTATAATAAATATTGTCTATAATTCATCCTATTTCAAAAATGGAGATCAAACCTCAGCCTCAGATAACCTCACAAAAAATAATGTAAAAATAGATCATTACAGTATGTTATCTTGTTCACAGATTTAAATATTATATAAAACATTTAAAAACACCATTTATTAAACCATTTGTGATATTTAAATCCACATTGTATACAGCTGTATTTAAAATGATGGGCGTCCCTGGTGAACTGAGATTTCTTGATATTCTGAGTGAAAATAATGATAATAAATAATAAAATCTTGCACAGAGTATATACACTTCTGCACATTTTGATGCACAATTACTGTTTATTTGCTGAATCAACAAAATATGTAATTTGACCAGGGGTGTTTAAACTTTTGTACATGAACGTATGTTATTATAATTATACACAAAATAAATAAAAATATTAATATGGAAAGCAATTCCAAACTTTTGAATGTGTGTGCAGAGCAACTTATAATTACATACATACACTACTCAAGGCTTCTATTATTACATACACTATACAGACAAAAGTACTGGGAGACATCTCCTAATTATTGAGTTCAGGTGTGTCAGCCACACCCACTGCTAACAAGTGGAGAAAATTAAGCACATAGCCTTGCAGTCTCAATAGATGAAGACTGGCAGTAAAATAGGTCATACTGATAAGCTCAGTGACTTGACTAAACATGGCACCGTCATAGGATGCCACCTGTGGAGTAATAAATCATGCTTCTCTATCTGGCAGTCTGATGGACGAGTCTGGGTTTGGCAAATGCCAGATGAACGTTACCTGCCTGATTGCATTGTGCCGTCTGTAAAGTTTGGTGGATGAGGTATAATGCTATGGGGTTGTTTTTCAGGGTTTGGGCATCTGGGAAATCTTAATGCTTCAGTGCTATACCAATACATTCTGGACAATCCTATGCTACCAACTTTGTGGGAACAGTTTGGGGAAGGCTTTTATCTGTTCCAGCACAAATGTGCTCCAGTCCACAAAGCAAGGTCCATATAGGCATGGATGGCTGGGTGAGTTTGGTGTGGAAGAACTTGACTGGCCCACACAGAGCGCTGACCTCAACCCCCTCAAACATCTTTGGGATGAACTAGAACAGAGATTGCGAGCCAGGTCCTCCCGTCCAACATCAGTGTCTGCCCTCACAAATGCTCTTCTGAATGAACGGGCAAAACTTCGCACAGACACACTCCAACATCTTGCAGAAAGCTTCCCACAGGAGCGGAAGCCGTTATAGCTGCAATGGGGGGGGTCAACTCCATAATATTGGCTACATAATGTCTCATAGATTTAGAATTGGATGTCATAAAAGCTCCTGTGGGTGTAATGTGTAGGTGTCCCAATACTTTTGTCCATATAGTGTATATGGGCTTTTAGAATGCACACACTCACACACACATACAGGACATATGCATGACCTGTCCTGACACTGTATGAAAACAAACTGGTGTGTGGGTGTGTGTACGCATGTTGATGGGATGGGGAGGGTCATGTACCTCTCTCATCTCCTCGTCCAGTTTGCGCTGCTCTAGTGCCTCCTTCTCTGCACGCTTGCGGTGCTCTTTCTCCACCTTCTCATATTTCTTCCAGTACAGCAACATTTCTTTAGTGAGGCGGCGTGCACGCGGTAGCGTCTCCTTGCAGTTCTTCTGAGCCTGGATTGCAGCTCTGCGCACCTCACGCATGCACTGATGAGCCAGCTAAACAGGCACACACAGCAAATAAACATTCTCCACCAATCTCAACAGAAACATACATTCTGTAAACTTAAAATCTATTTCAGTTTTATTGTTACCTTTTTGGCATTGGTTAAAACAAAGTTCTTCGCAGATGCTTTCTGTTTAAAAGCCTAGGAAACAAAAGAAATGAAGATATGAATAAAACATGACCACAAGATAATTTACAGAGGAGGAATGTTAAGCACTGTCCCATAGAAATGACCTTACCTTAGGGTTTTCTTTTTTGGCAATAGTAAGCCAGACTTTTCGTCTACGAGCATTTAACTGCTCAAGTGTTAAGTGCTTCTTTTTTGTTATGGGCGGCGGTGCATCATGAGAGAACTTGGCAAATATTTTGGTGACATACGGCCGTCCTTCCATGGATAAATCTTCACCACGTTTCTTCTTCTTTTTCATCTTCTTTAACTTGGCTATGACAGAACAGAGTAATCGTAAGCATGACTTCGGTACACAAACAGCATGCATAAGCACAGAACAAACATGGCTCCTTCTCCTACCCTTAAATTTCTTCTCCTCCTTAATCTTCTTTTTCTTGGGCCCTAACAGATGGCGCTGTTGCTCATAGAAAGGGTCTTGGGTAGACAGAAGGCCTGTGCTGTAGTACTGATACTGCTGCAGCTGGGAACACACATCATTAACATGCTATATTTTTCATTGTAAATATCATTGCAATATAAGCTGGGTTTCCATATATGTAGGTGTACATGCATGTTTCTATACCTCACGGTCAGCGTGAAACTTGCTCTGGTGCAACCTGGTAAACTTATGCAATCGCAGCATGTCGTGCAGTTCCTCCCGGGTCATTGAGAAATCTGAGTCATCTGAGTCTGTGTCTGAATCCGTAGTGTCATCACTTAACAAGATACCCTGAAGATCACAAGAGACCAGTCATACATCAAACCACTCTGCAGCTGCAGAGAGAGTGGAAATGCAGCTCTGATACAGGAAATTGGACCAGTCAGCTCCAGAAGCCCACTTATGTAATTAGTGCCGCATTTAACCATTAAAATAATTAGGCAAAATATTAAAATTTAAAATATGATTGGTGCCTGAAATTTCTTTTAGTTTTGCACTGCAGCTACAAGGCATTGCATTACATACTATCTACAAATACTGACAAAATACAGTACGGTGCAAATGTCAGAGACCAGTTTCTTTGTTTGATTTAAAACGTTCCTTCTTTTTTGTCTATGTCCTTTTGTTAGTAAGGGCTTTCGGACAGCTACACATCCTTTCAGTCCTATAATGGAGGGTTGTCTTCTCACAGTGGAAGGATGGAAAACGCATCTCTCAAAGTGGAAAGATTTAAGTTTTGGTGGTCTACAAGGTCTTGCATGGCTGATTTTCTCTGTATCTTTTAATAATTTTTGAACTCCAGTTTTGGAGATTCATATTTGTTCCACTTATTGTCCTTCAAATTCCTCGATCTTTAAACAAGTGAATTATCTTTATATCTAGTCTCCTCATAAATATCTACTGACCGACCAATCATTCATACTGTACTGTAATGACATTTAATTACTGGAAATTAAATAAAATACACAATAAATTTTACACAGCTAAAAAACAGTAGTAACAGCAGGGCCATGCAGGGACCCTTAGTAAGACAGGTGTTCAAAAGTGGCAAATGGACAAAGATTAACACAGCAAAATTTACAACTATAGCAAGCAGAACATAAGAAGTTTTACTATAAACCACACATGAGGCTGGCATTTATCAAAATGTACTATGATTATTTCAAGAGATGGACCTTGCAATATCAATAATGGTACAATGAAATCAAAATATCTACACAATGAACAACGACTGAAGCTTTTAATAGTAACAGTTTACTAGGCTTCAGCCATTGTTCACTGTCTAGATATTTTGATTCCACAGTACCATTACTGATAATGCAAGATCTCTTACAGGAACAGAGTATAATTCTAACTGGTTAATCTAGCTAATTCACAAAGGCAATTCAAAGCCAATGTTTATGCCTTTGGAAAAGAGGTAATGATAAATAGCAATGAGTGCTAAGCAGTGATTAGAAAGCAAATACCTTTAGCCATTTCCGGCTCTTCCTCAGCTTGGAGAAGTTATACAGGTTGGCTTTGTCAGCCTTGTGCTCTGTAGGGGAGATTGTAACATACTGAGTAATGTACCCAAAATAAATGAACAAATTACCAAAAAACTGAATGACTGAATACTTTTCTATGATAAGTTATATGTTCTGTACCCTGAAGCAGGACTCCATTGAGAGTTCCACACTCTGTCCCACCTCCACCAGACCCCTTGGTTCCTTCCTCAGAGTCAAGAGGCTCTTCCTTCACAGCTAGCACAGGAGCATGAGGGTTGGAGGGAGCGAGAGAAGGCCCCTCACCCAAGCCATCATCACTGTCATCACTGAAACACATACATACAGAAGACCATGAAGTGCTTTCCTGCCACACATCTAAGAGACGTAGCAACTGAGATCAAGCTTACAGACAGTAAACTTATTAGAGTACATCTTGTACGTTTAACAATTTCTAATTTAGATACTTTTTTAATATTGATTTTTAATATTTAATATTTATTTTCAAAAACAGGGAAAACCTTACTATTAATTTTTCTTTATATTAATGATAAAATAAATATTTTGACCCACAGGAAAAAAAAATTATCTTGGCAGTTAAATCATACTTAGTTCAATCAATATATCTAATGTTTCTTATTATTACTCCTGTAAGAAAAATATAAGATTGTTCAACTTATTTTAAGACAATTTTACAATTATGTATAATTAAATATGTACAATTATCAGACAATTTTATTAAATGAAATGACTTAAAAATCAGCTAGAAATATGTTAACCAATCTAATATTAATAAAGCAATCTTATTATGATAAATATTAGAATTTTCGACTAGATTTAAGATGATTTCACTTGCCAAGATATCGTTTTTTTACAATGCAGCGCCCAAGACAGAACAGATTGCTGACTTAACGCCAAGTGACATGCACCAGTCAACCAGCTCTTTAATTAGACAGCTCCCCTACCTGGATATGTCCTGATTGAATATGGTGGAGGTCTGGCGGAGGAAGGCATCCAGCCTGAGGGAGCGCTCCAGGTACTGCAGATGGAGCGGTTTGGCCAGCTTAGAGCAGGCAGAGTCCACACCATCCTGCTCTGAGGCCATAGGGAGACAGAATGCGTCCTGGGCCCAGCAGGGCACTCACTGCAGAAATCAGCACATGCAGAATGAGATGTGTAAAAAGGTCATGAGAATGAGTAATTTGGTAAATGAATTTCTTTGGAACACAGTAGGAACAGGAAAGCTGCATTACAATGCAAGTGGCCTGTTTAAAACAGAGTTAAAGGCACATATAAGAAACTGTTTTATACATAATATAGATATATAAAGAATGTTGTTATTGATTTATACCGATAACAACTACTAACTACTAGCTCTATAGTGAGAAAAAAATGAAATGGTTTACAAACAAACTAGTCACACAGAAAATACTGTTTATTTTATCAGGGCTGCTGATTCTTACATTCAGTGATCTGCTTATGAATTTACAGAGTGGAACATCTAAACCAGGACTGCCCAAAGTGCAGCCTGCAGGCCAAAGTCTGTGAGGACGTTTGATTTGGCATGCCAGAACGGTACCCAGGAGAATAAACATAATTCCATACTAAATATAACTTAGTACATTTTTATTTTTCTTTAAAAAAATTAAGTATTTTAGCAACAAAATATAGTGTAGTGTTATAAAAGTTAGTTTACAAACTTTTTCATTCGTATATTGTTTTGTCTCTTTGGCCCTCAGCCACCACAAACACTGCACTTTGGTCCAATAAGACCAAAAAATTGGGCACCATTGATCTAAACCCCTGTGGAAGCTATCACTGTATTGTTCCGAAAACCCTGACCGTGATGCTTCAAGTACCTTAGGAAAATGAGATTTCGTCATTTCCAGTTCCAAGACCCAGATTTCATGAAATGGCAAGGCTGGATAAGAAAGAGAAGAGATGATTACAATTACATCCACTCAGCCATAATTCAGGTACAGACAGAAATTACATCATCTGTTGGCATCTGAGACCAGAACCAAAGAATACCCCCAACTAACACCAATGAAGCAATGTAGACAGTACATATGTATTAAGAACTGACTTATTTGAGTGTGAAGTAAAGCAATCTGTAGTTATTTACTGAAAAAGATATAACCCAACCAATGCTAACAGTGCTGTTATGGTCATGGCAACAGATAACTGAGTAAACTGTAAACATTCATATTTGTACTTGTTGTTCTACCTTAGTAGAGAACTAACTACTTAAATAGTTGTATTAATCACTTGAAAACACATGGATGGATGGAATAATCCGCTTTTCTTGGTACACAGGTCAATCATCATATGTCAACCATATGTCTTGGAGGATAAACCATAATACAACACCGTCTATCAGAAAAAAGACATACAGTGGAGGCACCTATCAACTCGGGTGACTGTGATGACGTAATCTAGGATTTACAGGCTCATGTGTATCCCATGAGTTCTGCAATGCAATATCAAAGTTATTTCATTATAGCAGGTAGTAAGGTTATAAAAGGACTGTCTCTCTTTACATGGATGTAAATCAGCTGACTGACACACTCAGTCCCTAAATTTTAAGGTGACAAAAAAGAATGCACAGAAGCGGACGCCCTCAAGGACATTTGATTGGCACCATTTACTCCAATTAAGCCAAGATGTGACTTCTCTTCTTAAACTTACTAAATAACTAATCTACATAACCAATGAATCAATATTGAATTTTACAAAGAAATATAAATGGCAGATGGAAGTAAAGGCGATGGAGAGAAGCCCAATGACTGAAACTGATCTATTTGGACGAACATTTGGAATCATTGCAAACATTTTTTATATTAATAACTTCATATTAATAAATTCACACTAGACAACAAAATGTATGTTTATCTTACATTTTAAGTATTTTGACAACAAGAATAAGTTATCCAAGGATAAATAATACACCTTAAGTAAGTATTTATAGGGATTTTTGTCATGTGGCCTGCCTTGAGATATGAGTATTACTTCTGAAATGCAAGGCATTTTAAACATTAATTTTACTGTAACTGAATTAAGTAATTTTAGAACCATCTTAAGCTGTTCACCATTTCTGACATATCTAACCTTGCTTCTTTTTTTTCCATAATTGTATACATTTTTTTGCACCCATACCAGTTTTATATCATTAAAAATGCTAATTCTAAACCTGTGAACAGCAAAATATCTGTTTGTTGGCATTTATTTCCACACAACAGACTGCTGCTGACTGTTAAAACAGCTTCCAAGCTATACTTGAAATTTGAATTGAGAACCTTTAATTTGCTCTCCACATGCATAACCATAAGTATAATATGCCAAATCTTATCAGCCCATCCAGACATACCACCTGATTTCAGTGTAACACAATTTCCATTTTATTCTTTTTTTAATGTTTAACTACATTAGAATGTGTGAGTATATGGTACTAAAAAGTCAGTCTTTTAAAGCTATGAACATTTTTAAAAGTACGAGGCTCTTAAATTAAAAGTTACTGGATTAAATCCCTCTAAATGTGGGTTGATGACCAACATAATTTCTTATATCAAAAGGTATGGAACTTGTGACATGATTTTACTACATGCCCACAAGTATCCAGACACCACTTCTATTTAGTGAGTTCAACTATAAGGTGCACCCACTGCTGATACAGGCAATCAGTTGCACACACAGCTTATATAACCTCCATAGAAAAGCACCGCCAATAGAATGGGAAGCTCTGGACACTGTACCAAACATCAGCTTGCTTTCTCTGGACTTGGGAGCTCCAACCAATACCCTTGAGATGAGTTGGAGTGGCATTAGTGACCCAGTACTAATCATCAGTACCTGACCTCACTAATGCTTTTGCAGTTGAATGCAATAACATTCTCACAGCAATTGCCCAATATCTAGCGTAATGCCTTTCCAGAAGAGTAGAGGATGTTACTGCAGCATAAGGGGGCAGACACCCTATTAATACTCTTTATTTTCCAACACTGGATAAGCGGGTGTTTACAAACTTTCGGACATACTGGGCAGGTTTCCCCGACAGGGATTAAGCCTAGTCCTGGACTAGACACGATTTTTGAATAGAAAATTTCCATTGATAGGAAGACATGGTCCAAGACAAGACTTTATCCCTATCCAGGAAACCGGCCCACAGTGTGTACAGTAATAATGTCATGAAACACGTGACAATGTACATAAACGTTTTCAAAGAAGTCAAATTAAGGTCTATTTGTTACCTACGACATTAGGTCTTATTGTAACTTGAAAAAGCGAAAACTGCAGTTTACTTCCAGTTTTCCACATTAACCTACAGCTGCACAGATAAATGAGATCTTTATTATTATTATAGCCTAGCCTAACGCTGCCACACAAATCATTGATTAAATAACGTTAACACTTAAAATACAATCATTTATTAGGGTTTTGAAGTGAATTAGAAATTATGGTGTTTAATCTGACTCCGGAGACATAAATACACATGATTGCGAGTAAAGCTGGCTAACTGTTAATAGCAGCTGACGTTAGCGTTAGCTAAATCATGAGCTACTTTACTGTATTTTAGAGGTGCTAGCCGTTAGCTTGCACACAACACGGCAGCTACTTTAGCTAGGAAGGTTTAACTGTAGAGTCTGATAGCCAGCTAAGCTAAGCTAAAAAACCTGAACGAAACCAGCTTTAAAAAGTTGAACAGCGCAGGAGGCTGAAGCTGGTTTCTTATTCGAATACCCTGTTCTACCTTAAATGGTGCATTTGAAGTAACTGCTGCAACGTTTAAGGTAGAACAGGGAATTCGAATAAGAAGCCAACTTCTCCTTATAAGTTAGCTTATGCTACACATAGCGCACTAACCTTGAACCGATAACGTTAGTTAGCATTCTCATGAGCATTTACTGTCGCTTAGTTATTTTACAGACTGTATGTTTGCAATGCTTTTCCAGCCTGTCGCTTATTTGAGGTGTGCGATTTATTTTCTAGTTGGGTGTTTACTGACGACTTTCCACACTTTTCACTCGGCAATTTTGATTAATTCAGACGGGCCCTGTCTCTTTAAGGCCACATCCGACCGGGACCAAACGATATAAGTCACCACAGCTAACTTAGTTGGTGAAATACGTTCACGTTAAGGCCTTGTGCTTTCCACCGCCAATGCAGGATAGGCAGTCCGTATCTGCCTGCTCGCCTCTCTCTCTCCTAAATGCCCCCTCTGCCCCGGAGAAGGGCAGAGCCGCTCCTTCCATTCCCCCGCTTTCTAATTCTTTCTCCCTCCCGGCCATCTTACCCCAACGCTCCCGCTCCCCTCCCTCCATAAACAGTTGCTCACCTTAGTCCCCCCACCCCGGTCGTGCTGCCCCTTTTTTTCGCTCCGTCTCCGTTGCTGCCGACTCTCAGCTCTCCGTCTCCAAAATGGCGGGTGTGAGCGAAGGGAGAGGGACTGAGGCGCCGAGTCGGCAGCAGCAGAGAGGCGGCCACTTTCAGCGGCCGGGAGAGCGGCGACCACGGCGCCATGGCGAGGACGGAGCAAGGAGCAGCCATAATAATCAACACCGGAGCGGCTGGTGTGACACCAAAACACGCTTTGCTGACAAAACTACACATTGGCTACTTATTAATAAACATGGCTCATTTTTTAGTCAAAATGGACAGCGCGGGTGGCATTTAGCGTCGAAGAAATGGGATTTATGAAAACCCACTCTTCCGGAGTCGATTAGTGATGCCTGGAGATTGTGAGGATGTATGTGACGTTCGTGACGTCGTCCTCGTCGTCGTCCCTGAAATATCGTGAGACTGAGATTAAGCGAGTTTGGAAGGAGTCAACGAGAAATATCGCGAGACTATGATTTTCGCCCCCACTGAAAACGCACATAATCGGCATGTGGAGTGTCCGACTCCCTTTAGTTGTCAAAATATGAATCGTGACTTGTTGTGTGTAATCACGGTTCTCATCATAATGTCAACAGTTAGACCACGATGTAAATCCGAAAGCGTTAAAAAATGACCTTAGCCTGTATATAGATCATGTGCTCAAACTGTTTCCCTTTACCCACTGCACAGTTTGATCTTTGAAATAATAAAGCAAGTTAAAATTAATCCAATTTATTTAATATTTTCTGCTGCAGACAATGCGGAGGGCATTCCCGTTGGCCCTGAATACAAATTTACACAAACAAAACACAAAGTTGTATAGTTTATTGGTCAAGGATCCTTGATGCATATAAAGCAACCAGGCACACAGACACATACAGTTACTGTGGTGAACAACTGTACACAGTTATTAATTAAAAATATCTTGCGATTGGTGAGATTATATAATGCACCACATTCAGCAATACTGACATTCATTCATTCGACAACACGTACACAAACATTTTGTATGCACTGAAATTTCAATGTATGAGTGGTTACATTTACAAGGAGGTTAATGTTTGCAATACAGCTGTTTCACAAGTGCTATACTTCATAGTCTAGCAAGTGCTTTTATTGAACATCAGTCTTCGTTTTAGAGCCAGCTAGACATCTCTTCGTCAAACTTCTGTGGATCAATAAAAGCCTTATCAATAGATTTGATCATCAGCTCACCACAGTAGGCACACTCAGAAGCAATGATGTCATCAATATCTGACTTGATCTGCTCTCTGCTACCCTGGCCTTTTCCCAGGCTGACAGTATCCTCCTCTTTGGGCCTGTGACGGGACTTGGTGGTCTGCGTAGTCGCAGCAAGCTTTTTCTGGAGCTCCTCTAGCTTATTTAGCTTATAGGTAGTAAGGTGAGGGGTGACTTCCTGAAAAAGACAGTCATAATGGAACATGTGTCCACACAGGAAGAGATAGAAGGGCCTGTTGAGTAAGGGGAAGTCACAGGTAGCACATTTCTCTTGAGACTCCACCACCCCATATTTGTTCCTCATTTCCTGGATGTCCTCACGTATGCGCTTGGCACTCTCTGTGGCCTCCTCCATCTCTTGTTTCAGCTCCTCAATGTGCTGGTTGTACTCTTCCAAGGAGCTGCAAATTGCCTCTTTGAAGTGGTCAATTGTGACAAAGTCTGGAAAGAAAGGCAAGATGTCCTCAATCTTCAGTAGGTTGCAACTAGACAAACAGTTCATTGCCTTTTTCACATCCTTCTCCTCCTGAACCACATGACGGGCAATTTTCAGCCACAGCTTCTTCCTCAGCTCCTCATCATCCTCCGGGAGGTCGGCACATGACTTGGCTAAATCAACATCAACCTTAACAGGCAAACAAACATGCTATTTAGATATTGTACATTTTCTGAGTGACATACACATTCAATTCACAGTGTCATGCAAAATGATTGATGCATACATACTTGTAAGGCTAGATCCACAGCTTCCTCGTACAGCTCCATAATCTTGTAAATTAAGACACAAGCTTGATGATAGCCATGTTCAGCACAAAGGCGCAAGGCGTATTTCAAGTCATAGTTGATTTCAGAGGCATGAGTACCTGCCTGCTCAAGATACAACAACAAAGAATCTGGCTTGTATTTGGCGTAAAGTGACAGCAGGTAATTATGGATGGCCTCCTCCTTCACCCCCAGCTCATACACGCAGAACTCCATGTAACGGATTGTCTCGTTGATCTGCTGGGCGCTGCCTACCTGACTGTAGTTCACCAGAGCTGGGATCAGTTTCTTCGGGTCCAGTCGTTTACCCATTTGAATCCATGCATCTACCACTTTTTTTGGAATGTGCTGCATGAGAACTGGGGAGAACTTATAAAAAAGTTTCTCATCACAGTGCTTGGACAGCACCTCTAGGGCTGCACTGTAGTCATCGTGCTGGCAATGGTGCGAGATGACCCTCTCGTAGTCCTGCATTATAACAGAGAAGTACACCATGTCATCCACATTGCCATGGCTTGCCAAAAGATCATAGATGGTACTGCGGTTGTTGTAGAAGAATTCCCTGTGTTTGGGGTTGCAGAGAAAATGACGGAACTCATCCCGGGTGTCCATAAATAGGGGATTCTTAGGGTCACCTGCCTCTAGTTGTCCAAGTCGGTTCAGATACAGCTCTGTTAACCAGGTGACCAAAAGGGTGATCTGTGTCTTCTCATTAGGTTTAAGGTTACCCAACTTCTTAAGCAAAAATTCCTTCAGGGCCTCCTCTTGCTTGGCTTCAATAAACTTTAAGGCAATCTCCTCAAAATATTTCTGCGTGAGAGCATAGCACTTTGCACTCTCGAGATAACGCTTGTTCTGGAAGCAGTGCTCTGCCTCCTTGGCCAACACCATATCCATGCACTCTGGTCGATCCCTGCAGTACTCTTTGGCCAGATCAAACTTGTTCATGCTCATGTACATCTGCCAGACATCTCTTGATTCCCTCTGTATATGATAGCGAAAAACAGCTTTCTCTGTGTAGATCCATACCAGCCCACCTACAGGATCTTTGATCATTTTTTTGAGCGCGCCAAACTTATCTGGGAACACGTCTTCATAGACTACTTGCCCATTCAAAGTACAAATAGCCTTAACACGGTCAGGAAGCAGGAGAAGGAAGTGGAACTGCGTGAGTACAATGGAGATAGGCTTGTTGAAGCTGAAGTCAATGTCTGGTGTGTATTCCCACACCTGTACATCACTGAGGAGAGAGTCGGGCCGCACATAGTCCAACTGGCCATACAAAACCCCATTGCCCATCATCCAGGCAAAGGACTTGGGGCACGATCGAAGCTTTGAGGTGTAAAAAGCAATCTCACTGTAGCCCATATTAACAGGAAACTCCTGAAAGCTAGGAAGGAGTTCCTGATTCTGAGCAAAGATGGAGCTGAACCCTTGTTGCTCAGAACCTTCTGCCAACTTGCCTACGAACTGGAAGAGACGTTTGCGAGTGGTTGCAATGATGAAGCACTTTGATTCTATCCCGCGTTCCACCTCAAGGCAACAGACTGGTGCTGGTTTGCCATCTTCCTCTAAGGAATGAACCTGTCTGAAGTATTGGTCAGGGTTAGTGTTGAACAGACTACCTTCTGAAGCAGAGATCTCTGCTTCAAAGATGATGCCTTGGCTGGTTCCAACAAGAATTGGGCCAGTATTAGTCTCAGAACCCAGGACCTTGTTCCAGCCCACACTCTCTATAAGGTGGCCCCTCCACCGAGAAAGACTGCGGACCTTTTGGGTGTTTCTGTTCAAGTAGACACACTCGTTTGTGGTCAGACTAATCACCAAGTGAGACCCTGAAACAAAGACATTACTTTTATTATTTGGTGTACTGCATAAGTTCAAACAGAACAGATCATGATTTTTGGTGGCATGTGCAATACATACATTCTAGTTCTGAGTTTTACTTCAGATCTTCACCATCACACATAATTTTTCACATAATATGTGTAATAGACAGCACACAAAGGTTCCTAATACTGCTGTTAAAAAAATACAATGCGCAAATAAGTGCAGCTCAGGTTGGTGCAATAAGTACGATTTCATGTTCTGCAGGCCACTTTGCTAGTCTTGCGTGCCTTTGTGTAATTACAAAATTTTAAATATTAAGGGCCTATTATGCTTTTTGGGTTTTTCCCCTTTCCTTTAGTGTGGGGCTTTCGGGCATGTAAACAGTCTGCAAACTTACAAAGCCCCAAGTACAAGCCAGAGGGAGTAACACTCTCCCACAGAAACCACTATTCTCAGCTGCCTGAAACGCCTCATTGGAATTCCAGCCCTTTTCCTTTGTTACAAGATGACGCAATCTCATAATATAATCCTCATTGCCCACCCACTAGCAAGATTGGTACGCCCTTGCACACCAAACAGCAACTACTGGAGGCCAGGAAGAGTTTGTTCAGTTTTGTAGCTATGTCGAGAAGACACCGTGTTCTACATTGTGAGGGAAAATCTCCTTTGTAGAACAACAAAGAAGTCAGTGGTTGAAATTAGTGTAGGGGCGGGAACTTGTGGTGGTGTCCAATCTCATCCGCAAAGGGCTAGTGTGGCAGCGGGTTTTCATTTCAACATGATCAATTGTCTCAAGAGTGAGCAGCTGATTCAACAAGTGGAATCAAGTATGATCCTCCATGTTTGGAATAAAAACCTGCAGCCACACCAGCCTTTAGTGGATAAGATTGGACACCCCTGTGCTATGCCTTCAACCACTCTGGTGGCTGACCAATCAGAACAGAGTGGGTAAGCTGACCAATCAGAGCACACTGGGTGCAGCGGGAGGCAGGGATTTAAGACACAGGAGATCTAACAGAGCGTTTCAGACGGAGAGGGAATAGAGATGTACAGTATGAGAAATATAATGAGGTTTGTAGATGTTAAAAATTATGAACACTGAAAATTAGCATAATAGGTCCTCCTTAAATGTAAGAACGCACGAATAAACTATGAATCTCTGTCTCTTTTTGAAATACAGTGAGACAAGAAAGTTCGGGAAATTAATTCATGCAAAGTTTCAAATACACTAAGCAATCTGGAATGTGTCATCCATATGACTAGGCAGAATAATACTGAATTAAAATATGAAATAAAATGATGTAATCATGTAGTACAAACTATAATATTCACTAAATAACTGAAACTGTCAATACTATCCAAATTAAAGAGGAAATCTAATCAAATGCTACATCTAATGATACACTCCAAGCTTCATCAGCACTTATATGCTCTCCTATCAGGATGTACAAATTTAGACCTAATCACCTGTTGGGTCCAGAAACAATTTGTGTACTTTACTGTCGTCTTTCCTTCCTAGTTCAATCTGGTTCGGCTGATCTGGTTTTCCGAGATCAATCCTAAAACATAAAAATGCATTTTTTTTACATTTGTATTACACGAAGTAAACTGCACATATCTTTATTTTCAATAAAGATCAGATCAGTAAGAGCTCTTTACAGTTCTTTAACACATTGTACTAGTCAGATTGTGCAGGGCTGTGAAACCAAAAGGTTAATTATGACAAGCATGCATATAATCAAATCACTATTAAAGTAACAACCATCCCTATTAGCACCATTAATCTCTAGAGACATCAATAGGCTGATGGCACCAACGTCTATGTATATGCTAATGTGACTCTTCATTCATTTACCTCAAGAGGGTGTCCTTCCCAAGACTCATGCATAACTGGTTGTTGCATACTGCAAAGTGATTTATCTTTTCAGGAGGTGAGAAATCGATCCGTTGCTTGTTAAATATGGGCTTTTCTTCCTCCAGCCGCACATTCACAAACCCTGCAATAAACAAACATGGAGCAGCATCAGAGATGAACTCTGGGCTTTTCTACGGATGTCTTCCCACTTTCTACACACTTTACTCATTTATAAGTGATTACAACATGCGACACATTGGTCCATATCTGGAGACGGTAATGTGAGGCGTGTTGGTTTAACTACCTGAGTGAGTGATCCCAATCATGTTGGCCGCCGCCATACGGGACGGGTGGACAGGGTGACGAATGATTTGCGAGTCTTCGTATTCGTCAAGAATAGATGCCATTGTATCTCTCCCAGTAAGTCAATGCAGAATTTACGTCCTAATAATAAGAAAGAAGCTCCATTTGCATCAGCCTTGGTAAACTGAAAAGGCTAAATCAACCGTACTCAAAGTTACAGTCTTCTCATTAGGCCAGTGTCAGTGTTAGCTAATGCACAGTTAGCTGAGTTAGCTGACACTAGCTGGCTGTACCCTTCTTCCCTTTTTGGCTCTTGTAAGCGATAAGCACGGACACAAAGAGTTATTATCGTCACAATAAAGCAAGTGAAAAGTAAACTGAACTAAACATCGATAAATAACGAATCTAACCGCTTTCTCTTGGAGAGCCTGGCTGACGTTGTGCGAAGCGCCTCTGTCAGGTGATCATGAAAATCATGTGACTGGGTGGACGCTAGGATGCAGCGCTTTGTCTGTCCACAGGAGGGCGCCATTTAGTTAAGTTAATTTGCTGAAACGTTCACGAATTCAAATCTTCCCAAAATTTTATTTTGTGGGGTAATTGGTCTGTATTTTACGTTACCCTTAAGGTGACATGGTGATTATTTTTTAATAAGGCATGGCCAGGAATTAATAATTAGTCATTTGTGGCTTCAGTATAGTAATTAATGGCCTCAATATATTAATTTGTGGCCACAGCTTATTAAAAAATAATCACTATGTCACCTTAGGGGCTCCGTAATACTTAAGTAAATACACCTACTTATGTATTTACTATTCTACTTACCTTTTTTTGTGAAATTCTAATGATTTTTTAGGATTACGATGGTAAGAATGCTGTTGTTTCTTCACACACAAGTTAAGAAATCCGATGTTGTTGGTGGTTATTTGCTTAATTAAAAACACCTATTTAGTGGTTTAATTTTCGTCTTCCACGACATCAAGTAACTGGACTTATTGTTTGGAGATTTGTAAAAATTTCTATCAGGGCTGTCTAAATGGGTCAAAGTTGGCCCATAAAGACTTTGGTTTAGCCCAACAGATAGTTACTCTACCCCACCCCCTCACAGAATGAGAAAATAAACATATTTTTGTACTAAATTCAACGTTAAATTCTTATTTTTCTTTTCACTTTTTTAAGCAGCAAACTGTACTGTTATATAATATGGTAATAACCAAATTATAAATAAACAAATCATATATATATATATATATATATATATATATATATATATATATACAAACACGCACATATATATATATTATTATATATATATATATATATATTGTGGTCTGCTAGGCCTTCGACTCCTTCGACTTTTTCCCAAAGCCAAAAAGTTTAGGCTCCCAGAGTTCATATACATTTTTTTGAGAAATCATATAAAATATAAAGGCACCTTCATTCATGTTGTTGTCATTTGCAGTTTCAAAATACACTGTTTAAGCAGGACATATTCAGTCTGTCGTGGTAAACACAAGGCTTTTTTCTCAGTGGGTGGGAGAAGGGGGCGTGGCTATGCAAACCAGCCCCTTTTGAAACTCTCTCTGAGTTGAAAACTGGACGGCAGGAAGGAGGTGTGATGATAAGGATGATAACTGTGAGTGACTGAACTGGTGTTTGGTTCACCGTGATCACACGCAGCGCTCTTTCAGTAAGGTGGTCACACCTTAGAGTCCCAGGCGTTTTTAGGGGAATAACTTTTCAGCCTCTAATCGTTGGACATGCCACCTCAAATGGATTATTTCTACCAAGAGTCGAGAGTGCCGTCGGTGTGCTTGGACCAGGACGACGGGCTGGAGCCCGCTGTTAGCTGCATGCTGGTTGGAGACGGTGCTGTTGGCAAAACGAGTATGATTGTGAGCTACACCTCCAATGGCTATCCCTCAGACTACAAACAGACAGCCTTCGACGTCTTCTCAGGTAAGACTTAATCACTTTTGCTTTTCTATAGAGGTCCCATTGAACACAAAGCCTGCATTGTGACTGTTTTTCTGTGTGTTAACTGAATTCTCATTTCTTTACATAGGACAAGTGCAGGTAGATGGTACGCCTGTACGGATTCAACTGATGGACACAGCTGGACAGGTAAGAGTCCTGGACTGACAGGAAAAATTGAATGTTCAGTATTTTTTTTCAATATTGCAGTTTGGAAAATAGTTCAGTACTCAGACTTTCAATACTTTTAATTGTTTATCCTAGCTTAAACAAGCTAGCACCAGGCTAACATTATACTTATACCTACAGTTGAAGAGCTTTCTGTTGGTAAAGATTGATTAAAAAAGACATTTTAACATTTGAAAAAAAATTGTGTTCAATTCAGTAGATGTTCGATAAACAATAACTTTTTGCTGTAGTATCATTTGGTATCAAGCATTGAGGTATCAGTATCAACACTGCAGTTCTGGTCTCACGACAACACAAGTAAATTGGGTCTTGATTGGAGTTGTCATTTTACTGCTTAGCCTGGATTTAGATGTGGGTTGTCCAGATTATCAAACCTCTTAAACTGCAAGATTATTACCCAGTTACTGATGTTAAGACGTTTTGAGGCAATTATGAAACGTATGTTTTGTAAAAATGACAGGCTCACATATGAGCCCTTGCAGTTTAAAGGGTTAAGAATGTAAAAGGCTCGTTTACCTCATTGGAAATGAATGCAGCTGTCTTATCTGTCCATCTTTGGCATTTCAGGAGGAGTTTGACGGCTTCCGCTCGCTGTCTTATGCCCACACGGATGTGTTCCTCCTGTGCTTCAGTGTGGTCAACCCCACTTCTTTCCAGAACATCACCAAGAAATGGATCCCGGAGATCCGCGCCTTCAACCCAAGCTCCCCTATAATCTTAGTAGGAACTCAGTCGGACCTGCTGTTGGACGTCAATGTTCTTATAAACCTGGACCGTTATAAGGTAAAGCCTGTCCTCAGCTCACGGGCACGGAGCCTGGCTGAGAAGATCCGCGCCGCGGAGTATGTAGAGTGTTCAGCTTTGACGCAGAAAAACCTGAAGGAGGCCTTCGACGCCGCCATTTTCGCAGCCATCAAACACAAGGCCAGAAAGGCCAAAAAGATGAGACTTTCGGACAGACGTGCCAAAGCCTTTTCCAAGTGTAGCTGGAAAAAGTTCTTCTGCTTCATCTGACCCCGTGGGTCAAAAAAGAGAACTCTTTGTGTAATTTATTATTTATTTTGGACTTTTGCAATGTAGAATTGATCGATCTGCGAGGACCTTCAGAGAGAGAGCGACCAGCATGTTGGGATGAACTCAACTTTTTGGATTGAAGAACATCTCACCGAACTGCAATTACTGACTCATTCCATGACTTATTGGCTACACATACGTACTAATGACAGGGGTGCATATCATAAGCTGTACAAGAAAGGCTAAGCATAAAATGAACAAGCAGATACAAAATGTACCAAGTCCCAGAGCCCAAATAAATTCAAATAGAGAAGTACTATAAACATTTTATCCATAATAATCACCCAGACAATAACAAATGCCCTCTTGGATTCAACATCTTCACTTAAATCACAGTATAAAAGAGAACTCGCCACATGTAAATGCTCTGAATTTGCATTATCTGGATGGGTGCCCATTCAAAGCTGCGTAGGGCTTCCCGCATGTAGGCGTCTGTGAGAAGCTGGTGGGGACCAGAATGGTTGTCCATTCCCTGTCTTTGTCTTGGGTGCCATCTTGTCAGACAGGACTTTTCATATGCAACAGCTCAAGCTCAAGCTACAGTGTGACTTGTATGCTTTATCTCTTCCTTTTGAACACTTAAAGAGACAAATTCGCGACTACAGGATTCAGTTTATTCAGCCAACCGACATCCCTTGGCCGGCCATTGTTTTGCAAATTGTTATTGCCCAATGAGGTTTATTTTGTTTGAGTCTTCTCCATCAGGACTTTTCTAATGCTTGTTGATCAGTATCCTAGTATCCTTCTTTTTCCCTCCCAGTCGACCTTTTCAATTCACTTCATCTGTTATTTACGTATCTGTAAAGGAACATGAAAGTATGTTTTGAAACTGTAGACCCCCAGCCCACAATGATTTGCTTTGGAGCCATGGTTTGTTTATGTTTTGCAATCTTTATCTTGGGGAGGATTCATTGATAACAATGTGTACACATGATAGAGTGAAATAGTGCTGTTTTTACTAAAACACTACGTTATTCTTCTTGTGGAAGATATTCTAAATGCTGTTAATTTTTTAATGGTTTTAACTGTTTTGATTTAAAGCCATAGGCAAAAACTTTTTTCCCTTTTTGATCACATTCAAGATGAACATCTAAACAGTGTTTTGTTTTCTGATGTGACAATAAACAGGAGTAAAAAATCATTTGCACTTTGTGCTTCTTTCATGCTACAAAGATCTAGCAGGTTTTATTCTGCAGAAAGTACAAAAGTCATTAGTTATTAATGTTTCCAACAGTTTTAATGCTTATACATTAAAGGGCAATTCTGCAAAATTGCAAAATTTCTGCATAATGCAGTCGATACAATGTAAACTACATTATTCAGAGTGCTTTTATGTGAAAAGCTCTTCTGGAGAATGTGTCAAAATTGTTTTACAGTGGTGTTGATTGGAACCAGATATTGGAAGCATTTAATGCTTCTAAAAGGTCCCGCACAGAAAATGATTACATCAAATTATTATGATACCTGATGCCTGAGACACTGATCTATAATAGTTTTGAGAAAAAAACTATTTAAATGTATTTTTTCAAAATTAATTAATAGCGAAGAGTAGTGTAAGGCAAATTAGTCTCCACACAAAATGTAATTTTTCAGATTTTCTACTATTTCACTGTTATCAACACAGCATATACAAACTCTTTAGGTTCACTGGTCATTTTGCATAGTAAATAAAATGACTGTGATTGGAAGATTTTGGTGAAGGAGACCAAAGTTTTTTCTACAATTTGTTCTTGAGAAAAGCCCAAAGAAAAAATTACATCAGATTCATGATGTGTTCCTAAACCGCAGAATTATTCACATCTTTGTGCTCTTCAGTGTGTGTAGATACTGTTCTTACCTAAGAACAAATCCCACATAAGAAAACATTGGTAAATATCAGAGTCTTTGTAAAAACTGTGTAAGTGGGTTTTGAGAAGAATTTCTTCTTAAGAACAGTTGTTGAATGAGGCTCATTGTTACCCCTGGTTTCTCTCACCACCATTCTCAAGAAATCTTGTTGGTAAGTTTTGTTACAAAACACCATTTCAAATCAAATCACTCTGAATGACTTTGTTAACATCTGACAACTATGAAGTGACAACTGTGTGACGACAAATGCTTTTTTTGATAAAGTAAACATTTGGGTCAGTGTTGTTCCCCACTTCAGGTTCTGGAGTATCTACTTTAAATGTTTAAATGTTTTTCTGCTTCTAATTCAGCTAATCAGGTACTTAGAAAGTCCTTCCTGATTTGAAATGGGTCAGTTAGAGCAGGGCAAACTGTGCTTGGCAGGGCAGGGCGACTCTAGGAGCAGGACTGAAAAACTGGGTTATTCTAAGCTTATCTAAAGGGTACATGGAACAGTGGTGTAACCCATTTGGAGGGGCAAGGACAAGGGGGCCGACAGTGACTAGGCCCCCTAAAATCTTTATTCATTAATTACAAATCAGAAATCTTAAACAGGTAGTAGAACAGACATTTAGGTTAATGTTAGAAGCTACTGACTGGAGTGGTGTGCTTTGAAAGCATCAACCTGTTTGAGACAATAGCAAGTAAACAAGCAACATTGTCTCTTTTTTAATTTTTGTATGGAGGGACAATTATTTTTTCTGCCACAGGACCTCATCAAATCTTAGTTACGCCTTTGACATGCAAGCTGGTTCAGTTTGGTCATAAATCCAGCATTGCAGCTCACTGTAACACAGCTCAAAATACATACTATTTATGTACGGTGATTAAAAAAAATCTAATTTACAAATTCAGTGAAATTTTCCACTTTCCCAAATGCAAAGACATGTTTGGTGTCTGAAGTTCTTTAGTTTTGAACTGGAGCTAGACAAATAGACAAAAAATCACTCTTAAAAAAGATGGTTCTTCAAAGGTTACTTAGTAAATGCAATGGTTCTATATAGAACCATACACACCCAAAGAACCATTTGCATGCTTAAATGGTTCTTTGCAGGGTGAAGATTGACCAAAAATTGTATACAAGCTTGACATCGCAACAATAGCAGAACCCTTTTTGGCGCTATATAGTGCCATTTTCAAAACGTTTTATATAGAACCATATAAAATACATTATCCACCAATCTGAAGAACATTTTCACCATGCAAAGAACCATTTAAGCATGCAAATGGTTTTCTGATGGTTCATGGTTCTATATAGAACCCTTGCCTTTACTAAAGAACCCTTAAAGAACCATCTTTTTAAGAGCAATGTTGCATAGCCTAGCTGAAAACAGTAGTAGCAGCCATCTTGAATTGACAAGATTTAGACATGCAGATTGTGCAACGCTAACCAACGATCATAATTACATTAGCTCTACATTAGACTTGTAGCTCAAATGCTGAAGAAGCAAAGTTCAGATGCCGTCTGTTGGCCCTTCAAGAAAAAGAGTGAATCAGCTTGCTGGTTATACCGCAAGCAGGTTATTGAGCCAAATGCTGCAAACAATTTATGAGATTTCTGTCAAATTTTACAAGTGATTTCAGATATGTTTTTGAAATGGTAATTTGACCTTCAGTTTCTGGTTTTTTGTCTCCGACCATGAATGGAAACAGCTGCCTGGCAATGCTGCAGAGATGGCTGCCGAGTGAACAGCCTTTCCTGTGAGGACCTTGACCAAACTCACAGCTCAATGGCAAAACTAATTACCGGCATATTTATGCTGTCTCAAAGGTAAGCTAAGCTGAACTTTATCTGGGTCACTATATTTGCCAAAAATCCTCCTTGTATGATGTCTAATGGTAATGTTACAGAGAAATGTTAAGACCTCTTACTTTTCTTAACTTAGCTGCTGAAAGTTAGCTTGAAACATCAGTCAGATTAAAGACAGTGAGACAAGACTCACATTTGTGATTAAAACATTATGTAAAGCTAAATGTTAACGCACTCATACATGTCATTCTCTGTTTTGTTTTATTAAAGTTTGCTAAAAGACCTCAGCATTGCTCTGACTAGTGTTAGCCTTAACATAAGCTCATCTGTTGCTCAGACCTCCTACTTATTAGACATGAAAAGTGTTTTTACATAGAGACTAAATGATTGCCCTGGTTTGATTTATGTAGATAGCAGTATGTCATACAGTGTCAGAAACGACATAAGCAAATCTATTTGACATTATTTAACTCAGTGCAGTTTGAGGAAAGTGTTTGATGATTCAGGCATGGGGTTTGTTCAATGCTAACATGTCTGCACTGAACATCTTGTAAAACATTTTTAAATTACGAATGTTTCAAACTTCTGTATGTGCTTCTAATTGCCCTTTGTACTACTATATTTTTTGGTCTCTTTGCCAATGTGCAAAATACCACACAGTATTTTGGGGGTCCCATGCTGGCTGGCTAATCCAGAGTTGGCTGGCTTCTAACTCACTTGCCATAGCAGCACTGATGCTAGCTTCATTGGCAACAAAATGTTTAGTTTAACAATTCTTCTTTTGGAAATGCTAAATTCTAGTTTGATATTGTGGTCTTTGACACATTAACTGAGATCTTACACACCTCCTCTTGTGTCTTCAGTTTGAGAAATGAGTAACAATTCACCAGTTTCATGGGACATTGGGCACATTTTTACATTTACAAATATGCTGCGGCATATTGTAAAGATTTGCAGAGGTATCTCGGGTGTAGTTACAATTGCTGGGCTATGAAGGACCAACTGGGTGAATCAGTTTGCTACAGCGCCACCATGAGGCAGACCAGTGCTGCAGCTCTAGTTAGTTGAGAATACTAAAGACAGAAGCTCACTGTTTCAAGGATGAGGCAGCTAAACAATGACCTTTCCTTGAATTTGTATTTGAGCGTCTATTTTACCCTAGTGAACAACATAATGTCATAATAAGTTTATTTTCATGGAACCCCAACAATTTTCATTTTGAGACATTCAGGTTTCCGAGAGGTAATTTAAGGGGAACCACACACCTAGAACTTCCTGTATTTTGTACATTGCCTTTAGCACAAGTGTTAGAGAAGGTAAGCCTATATAGCCTGTACTGAAAATTTGACAAACATGCCTGAAATAACTGAGATCGGACTTTCCTGAATTTTGCAGTTGAGGACTTCTGCTGTTTCTAAGTCAAAGCCACACAGCTCATGATTCGTTTTCATAGTTCCAGTGTAAAATATATGACTGAAATGAAGGCTACTACAAACTTTCACTTGGTGTTGATGTGCATTCTGTCTTAAAGGGTCCATTTCATGGAAAACTGAATTTTCTCCGTTTATTTAAAAATAAGAGTTTGCTGTATTACATAAACTCTGTTAGCTCAAATAGTACAGTTCACTATCCAGTCCATATATAGAAACTAAGCTGCAAAAACAGCCTGTTTTGAAAACACTGTTTTCATGATATCATGAAAACGTTTATTTATTTTCCTCCTATTCAGTCAACACCAGCTTAGCACTGTCCACTCAAGCCTAACTTGTAAAGAGGATTTCAGTCCAAACTACTTTCGGTAACAAAAACTTGCTGTTGGCAAATGGTCACCCAAAAATTTATTATGATTGTTATTCGTACATAAACCCACACAAAAACATTATAAGTGGACCTCAGGAAAAAAATAACATGGAAGAAAACTGTAAGAAATGGGCTCTTTAAAATAAAAGTGAAGCATTAACAATTCGATTATAAAATGGCCTTAGGTCAGGTAAGGGGTGCTCTTAGCAGCCCTAGTGTGTGATCCAGCTGAGCAAAAGCTTTAGGGCCATCTGAATATTACAGGCTAGAATATGAGACTGAGTTAACTCTGCTGGGGAAAACCTGGGTAATATAGAATAAGATGACCAGTCTGAATCTGAAAACAGGCTAAAAGAGCTATAGGCAGACCTAGCACAAGTGACAACAGTTGTCATTAGGCGGAAACTTTATTTCAGGCCAAGCTGCCAGTGAAGACTTCTTCCTGTTCCAGTTCACAATGCCTGCTGCAGACAGAAGTTTACAACTTTATAAAGAGTACACAGAATATCCTGTTCAAACACACCGCTCTGAATGGCTGAATGGGTATTGTCTCATTCAGGTAAAACAGGACTCATCATCAGGGTACTTGCGTTCATCTAGATCAAATGACTCACTGGCAGAGCAAATCTTTGTGACTATATGTGAAAGCACCTTAGTGAATCATGTTTTTAATCCATTTCCTCCTTCTCTTTTTCTATTTAATT